TGCCTGTTATCATGACCTTGTACGATATAAGTACGTATTTTGTGTCGCATCATTTATTTGTGATTTTTTATTCGAAAAGAAAAAAATTCTCTCACTCTGTACAACGTCATGAAAATTCAGCAAGAGAGCAAAAGGATAGTCAGTGATGGAAATGATGGAAAAAAACCCTATCTCAGCTTTTGATAAAGATAGACGTTCACTTTAATACGGAAGCACCACAGTGACTGGAGTGTATCGCATAAAAATACCCACGCAAAAATGAACATCCATCTAAAAGCAGCAAAGAAAACGTGTGCAATAAAATACCATTATATTGCTCAAGAATAGAGCCCCAAACTCTTTGAAAAACAATGGTATATATCAACCGTTTGCACTCTTCATATCGTTCAGCACCTATTGATGGGTGCACAACAGTAAACAAAAAATACACGTCTCATTTTACCTTACATAAACAAAACGCCCGTACAAAAACAAAATGCGAAGGAATAAAGTAGCCGCACACACGTTGCACACAAACGGTCGTTGAAAAAAAAAGAAGCAAAATCAATATTTTTTATCTAAAAATACGTACAAACGTTCTCAATTTAGTTTATAATGCGAATATGCCATAAATAGATGTACAAAAGTAAGAATAAAAAAAAATGAAGAAAGAAAATTAAATCAGCACTCTTGAAATTGATTTGTAAGACAAGCAACAATTAAAAAGGCTTTGATCATAATCTGTATAACGTGTAGCACTGACTCACATTCTCGGAACGGTGTAGCTCCGAAATTTTGCATGCAAAACGTACGCATACGTTTTCATATGAACAAAAGCACCGTATTCTTGTGCGCCGCATTTGCAAGAGAGAAAGAGAGAAAATGTGTAAAAAAAATTGTACTCTGTTTGTCGCGCACAAATAAACAATAATACTTTTGCATTTGAACCTATTTTTATAACATTTCATCAATGAATAATTTACATGTTGAGCGTTTTATTGTTTTTTTCGAGCCAAAAATATCGACGCTGCTGCATTTTTTTTAGTTTTGTTTCGTCTCTCACTCCACTCAAATTGAACCAGAGACCGATGACCGAAATATTGGACTAGAATAACAATGATTCAATATTATACCAGACTTATTTGCATACATCCAAATGAAAACAAATTCCAAATGATTAGCTATTATCCAATGCTCAATATGCGTACTAATGCATTTGTTATTGTCATCGTCGAAATTCATTTAAAATTCTTGCTCGTCTTCGGTCTTCTCGCATCTTTGTCATAATCATGAAATAGAAAACTTTTAAATGTCAACCCAATGCGAAGGATAATAAAGCAAGTCATTTCTTGAAAAAGTATGTCTCGATTTATGTCGAGACAGAAATGGCTAGCCATGCAAGTTTTTCCATTTGATTTGAATTCATCCGTCATGATACAATTTCATTTGAGAAAAAGAGAAAAAAACCGGACTTGGAAGATTTTTTTTTTACGTAAAAATGTCCAATACAAATCCAACGACTATCAATCAATGGCCATTTTTGTAATTTTGATCCGAACGCATGATTGAGCCGACAAAAGAAATCCGATCCCATCGATTGTCCAATTTCAAATTGTTTGAATTTATAGGCACGGAAGAATGGAATTTCATACAATGACAAATGAACACGAATTGATGTAATCATTAAACTTTTATACCCTTAACAGAAGAAACGAATGCAAATAAATAAATTAAAATGGAAATTCGGTGTAAATTGAATTTTTGCGGCAGCAATTTAAACGGCCAATGCTCAAATTTCTATAAATACGAAATGATCCGAAAAACGTGATCCAGTATAATAAATAATTCAAGAAATCGATTCGAAAAACAAAAAACATCATTGTGTCTGTTACTCCATTACAAAATGCATGCTTTTTTGGGTTGTCTATTTATGAATCGCATCTTCCGACATGCGACATCCAAGTGTCTATGAACCGTGTCAATTAAAACAACATTTAGGCATTCAACATGTTACATGTGTTTGATGTGATGAAAATAGCATACTATGAATGAGAATGTGAAAATGAATTCAATTTAACGGAGCCAGTGGAAATTTTCTTTGTTCCATAAATGATACATATGAATTATGTATACACGTTATCGGTTCATGTGACGCATTCAATGCTGAAGATGCTTTTTCTCAATTAAGAATCACATCTAAAAATAGAAACTGAAAGCTTCCAGCTACGATTCAATATCTATTCAATAAAATAAATGACATTATTAATTAAACCGCAGTGGTTTTCCATTTTGTCTAATAAAATGCGATTGTTTGTCACATCTTCCTTCCAATGTGTAATATCGATATGCGTTCATGCATTCATTGTGTAAATAAAACACGTATTGGCAATCCACCCCGCATGATTGTTTTTATCGGTATACTTTTTCACGCAGTGGGTGTCTACACGCGAGAAATGTCACGTCAATTGTATTGCCGTTCGCCAAATCTATTTATCGCATCATCGAACGTTGTAATACAATTGAGCGTACTGTTTTATTGTTATTTGTCGTTAAACAAGCTCTCGTACGCGAGAGTACTCACTCACTCTCAACCATAAATTAAAGCTCGACAGCGCGCACGCACGAGCGCAGAATGCATTTAAAACAATCGAGCAACCGGAAAAGAAAGTGAAAGACAGAGAAGTGTGAGAGATAGTGAGTGAGAGAAAGAGAGGTGTGAGTGCCCGATTTAGCGCACTTTTCGGTTGTAATGCAAATAAAAAGGGATCAAATCGTATATTTAAATTTAGAATACGAATGACGTCAATGGTTTGAAGTGTTTATCATCATCAACATTATACTGATTAATACAAAACGCTTTCAAATTGTGATTGTTTCCATAAAATCGGCTAAATTATGCGTTGAGTGGCATTTTGTTGCAACGTTCTTTACTGAAAAATAGAAATAAATCAACACATAAGTATGGCTATTCTTAGACATTGTGGGATTCTTTTTTTTATTCGATCGGACATAAATGTTGTTGTTTGCTTACTCGTTGATCTTAAACGACAGCAGAAATGAACGACGCTTGATGTCGAATAAAAATCCACATAAATATTAAGACAATTTTTATGCGCCGATTGTGTATTACCAATCATGAATGTTTAGCCGAAGGCGATTGTACTTGATGACTCAGTTTGAATGTGAGCAAAACGATTCATCGTTTCGATACTGGTCAAGCTCTCTTGTTCTCTCACAACATCTCCTAACGTCGAAATGGCAAATAAAATTTCAAAAACTATATAAAACTTGTTCGCAACTTCTGTACACGGAATGTATATTGCGATGTTGGTCAGCAGCAGCAATAGCAAGCGTCAACTGAGCACAGTTTAAACATTTCGCTTTCATTAAAAAAATATTTATATTATGAGTGGCATGCTACGAATATTCGCCACTTGATTTTTATTTCAATTGCATAGGACTTCAATTTTGCTGTTGCCGCATTCGGTTTTTTTTTGTTTTGTTATTTTTTTTATTCCTTGTCGCCTTTTTTCCCGTCGATATTTATATCTGATTTGTTTTTTGTGTGTGTGTGTTGCGCTACCTATTTTCTGTTGATATTGTTGTTGTTGTGCACTTTAAACCGGCACAGTGCTGACGTAAATGCTCTTTTATGCTGAAGCCGTCGCCTTTGGTTCTGCCGCTGTTGCTAGTCTTTTGCGGGTTTTTTTTATGTGCACAGAAAATTGAACGAACGAAATGAAAAGTGATGAAGTATGTCTATTTAAAATAGTGGATGAAATGCAATCAAAATATATGCATAGGCTCAGGCCATTGCAATGAGTGAAAAAATGTTTCACTTCAGCAAAACGCATCATAAGCAACTGTTGCATCTTTTGTGAAGCACGTACTTGCGCTCAAATTTTGAAGTGTTTGACGATTAAAAAGCCATTTTTTGCCCTAGAAAAAATCTCATCTACTTCCTAGTCAATTATTCTTTTTTTTAAGCGGCTGAAATTTACAACACTTTTCAATTCATTCGAGAGAAGAGGAAGTGTGTGTGTGTGTGTGTGTGTGTGTGTGTGTATGTGTTCGATAAAGCGAGTGTGCCATTCAGTGAGAGAACTTAACATGTTGGAGCCATTAAATCGTAACTTTGGTAAGCACAGGCCATTATCATCTTTTTCCTGGGTGTATTGGGTCACTCAAAGAAAGAAAATTAGTTCTATTTACGATTGCTGTAAATCAATTTTCGTCGAATTTCCTATGCGAGTTTTTGTTTCATTTCTAGACATTTGATTTAATTATCGAACATAAAACAAAATCAAAACATATAATCGCGCTTGTTTTTTTTTACTTTGTCGAATGGCAAACTTCCCGAGAATTTGCCTAAGGATTCTTAGCACGTGTCGTTTGACTTGTGTTAATATTTCGATGCAGAAATGTATTTTATTGATTTTGCTTTTTATCTAAATGTAAAGTTCGTTAAACATGTAAATTGGTATGAGTGATTTTTTTCTCAGAAAGATTTCATTGACACATAGAGACAGAGCGTGGCAAATGTACACGAGCACAACGAAACATGTAATTCACTTGTCAAAATATATTCTGTAAACGCTTTTTTGAGTCAGCTTTTTTGGATAGTGGGCAAAAAGTTATGAAATTGGAAAGTCATGACATCCCACGCCAACGAGTCAATCAAAATCATACGTATAAAATGCGGTTGAAGTGCAAATCAACGTGGAAAAAAATCTTGACAAATAAATATTTATCTTGATTGTTCGTGCAAATCGAAAAACCATTGGAAAAAATTTGTTCATATTTTGATATGAGAAGGATAGAAGTAACATTTATCTCGATCCGATCATTTTCTCTGTGGATCCAAAAGAACTCTTATATTTCATGTACCCACGCGGTATTTTATTAACTTTCGAACCCTAAGCTTATTCCTTTTTTTTTTTGTTGAAATTGTGTATGTATTTGTGAGCTAATGAAATTTTGTTTGCATTTTCGTTCAATTTTTTTTTTTCGGAAATATACAGAAAGTAAACGTCAATTTAGAAATATGAAGCTCTCGGAAAGTAAATCGGACACGCCAAACCTAACGGTTCATCGAAACAGCGTGAAACCGGGCGGAAATGAAGGTAGCGTATTACATCGTATACCCGACATGGATTTACCGAGGATGGAAATAGAGAGTGAATACAATATTGAACGAATGATAGCTGAAGGTTGTTTTGCCCGAATTTTACTCGTTAACCATCGGCCGACAAATAGCCAAGTTGTACTGAAAGCCGTACACGTGGAACTAACATCGTTGAAGGAGTTCTTCAAAGAATATCATTACAGCTATCAATTGAGTCATCATCCGAACATTCTAAGCGCATATCAAGTAGCATTTCATGCAAATGATTACTATGTATTTGCTCAAGAATTTGCGCCATATGGTAAGTTTGATTCATTGCCATTACCATTGTCATTGCCAAAACTACGTTTATTTCAATGTACACATATATCAAATGAGAATACGAAATGTTCATTAACATATTGTGCTCTTTTTTTTCGTTGAATTTTCGTTTATTCTCTATCTGTCATTTAGGTGATCTGGCCAGCAATTTGGGACCGGGTGGTTTGAACGAATCAGCCGTCAAAATTATCGCCACACAACTCAGTTCAGCACTTGGTTTTATGCATTCGAAAAATTTGGTGCATCGTGACTTGAAATTAGAAAACGTTTTAGTTTTTACGCTTGATTTTTCGCGCATTAAACTTTGTGATTTTGGTGCGACGACACGATCTGGCATTTTGGTTACTCGCATTAAGCATACATGGAAGAACTTTTTGCCACCCGAAGTTGTTGAAGCCGTTAAAAATGAGGTAAATATTTTTATATTTAAATAACTGTTTGTAACTTTGCTTCCGCGTTCAAAAAATCAATCGTTGTCAAGGAGACTTTGAGTCGACGAAAACACAATTTGTTCTTAAAAATATGTGTAACATTTCTTTTGTTTTCATTTCGAATGTTTGATTTTTAGAAATTCATCTGTCGTACATCGTACGATTCCTGGCAATTTGGCATTTTGATATATTCCTTGTTGACCGGAAATCCACCGTGGCGAAAGGCTGATTGGGTGAATGATTCCCAATATGCCGCATTTAAAAAGTACCAAGAACGAAAGACTACAAAAATACCCGATAATTTTAAGAAATTTACACCGCGTTTATTGCGCGCATTCCGTCGCATCTTTGAACATGATCCCGATGGCCGCGCGAAAGTCACAGAAGTTATGAAATATGTTAAGGACAAATGGGTTGATTCAAAATTGGCCAGCTCAAAATCGACCGGCAACATTTTGGGACAACAAGTCAATTGTTGCGATCAAGATTCAATTGTTGCCTATCAATATCAACGTGAAAATCGTCAATCGCTCGATGAAAGCAAAATAAGACTGAGACGATTAATGTCAACATATGGTTTGGAAAATCCGATCGATCAAACGGCAGCCAAAAAACGAGTCTGGGAATGGGTACTCTCATGTGAAGAAGGTTACGGCGATGGACCGACAGATAATATCTAAACAATTTTCAAATGACATTCAAACAATTTGTTTTTCTTTCTTATTTTTTTTTTTCTATCGTTGTTTCGTAAAAAGTTGAAGAATTTTCAGCTCTTAAATGACCAGCTCAGCTCTTTATAATGGGGCCGTGATTTGCAAGCGAAAATAATAAGAGTATCAAACAATGAATGTTTTGTGCCAAGAACTTAATTGTATTTTATATGCTTCTAATTGTTCACACGTGCCAACGAAGCAAAACACATATGTATGGAAAAGTCTGCCACAGTTCATACGAACATAATGAATTCGCATGGCTTCATCATGCACAATATTAATTGATTGAGAAAAAAGAAAGGAACATGCGACACATTAAATAAAAACCCGGTCATAAAACCACCTTAAACGTTTAGACTTCTTGACCCATTAAATTGGCTGATAAACAATTGAAAAAATAAGTGTGCTCGGCATGATGAAATTGTATTTATTGACGACCAAAGACCAAAAACAAAATACTGTTTTCATTCAAAATCAGTGTTGTTTTTGCTATATTTTTGTACTTTTTAATACTGAACTTTGGAACAGATGCTCACCCATAAAAAGTGCACCTGTAAAATTGGGCGTCACCAACCACCGAATAATGCTTAATGAGCTTAATTACATGTTGAAAATGTCCACCCATATTTACATAGAGAAAAATACAGAATTTATTTGTATGTCTGACAGAAGAAAACCACAATAACAATAATCGACTTTGAGATAATAATCGAGTTTATTCATTTTGATGTATGCATTTAACCAAAGTCAAATGGACAGAATGGATTGTGCCAAGTGCTGCACACAACTTTGAATAATGTCACAACATGATGTAAACATCAAAAGAAAAAAGGAAAAAAAACATCACAATTCATTATCGTTAAAAGAAATCTAAATGTTGGCACATCCATTCAAATTAATATAAAAAAAGTAAAATGTTCAAAGAAATAAAAAAAAGCATCAACTTACATTTCATAAGGAAAATATCTGAGATAAATGGTCCCAAACTCTGAAATATGTAGTTTAACCCCATACACATGAACAAAAAACAATTTGCAAACATAAAAAAAATCACATATTATTATATCATTGTATAGATATTTATGAATATCATGTTCATTGAAAGAAGGAAAGAAATAAACCCAATAAGCATATCCTTTATTTATATATTAATACAGATGGAGTTGATTTTTGGTTCGAATAATGAAAATGGAATTTATAACTGGTCAGAGAAAAATGATAAAAAAACTCGCCTAATTGTGAAATGGAAAGGAGAGTTGATATCGTTCATTTTTTTTACGCTTCCGTAGCGTGAACAATTCCAGTAGAGGTGCTCAGCATCCGATCAATTGCCAAGTTTCTTTTTAGAAACTTTAACGGAGAACTGAAGAATCCCTCTACCACTCATCACACTATGGGCCATTTCACGAATGGCCACCACTAGCCGAAAAAAAAGAACAATCCCAGACTTCTTTCGATCGCACCAATAGACAATGATAGTGGCCAAAAAAAATTACGTAAAAGAAAAAAAAAACCAAAAATTCAAGATTTTGAGAGAAAAAACTTGATACACAAAAAAATACAATGAAATTAATTATTTATAGAATTAATGTGATTATAAACATAAAAACAGTAATAAGAACAAGAAACACACACACACACATACTAAATATGACTCAAGTGTCAAATGAGCGGCATGAAGAGATGGATATTTTGTAATGTTGAATTAATTTTTTTTTTAATTTGTGACAATTGTATGCCTGATGTTACAAAGTTGCCTGTTCAATGTGGTGTGCTGTTTGATGATGAATATGACTTTCAATTGTTATTTTGTATTTTTATTTTTTATTTTTTGTTATTTTTCATTTCAAAATGAAAAAGGAATTCAATGGATTTATTTAATGTCACTTATAATATTATATATTATATGTTAGCAAATAAACACCCAACAATTTAACACATCTAAACGACCTATATGTATGTATCTATCTCAAAAGTGTATCGGAAATTATTATGTGTATAAATCAATATTTTTTGAATAAATAAATTTAGATGAGAAATAAAACAGCAAAAATTAAAATCAATAAATTGAAATGTATGTTCACTTTTTCACTTTATATTTGGTGTATTTTTTGTCGTGCCAAGGATTTGCGTATCAATGATATTGTTTTTGTCTTCAAATTGGTTTTTATTGTCGTTTCTCTTTTGTCTTTATTTTTAAAACTTTGAATGAAGTCAATAGACAATTTTGTTTTTACATTTTGTGTGCCACTAAAAGTTCAAAATAGAATTTCTAAGTACGTCGTACATAAAACCGAAGTCCTTCTAATTCGAAAACAATAAGAATAATACGTCACGTTCGGTACAAAATGTAGCATCGTTTTTCATCAAGCTTTTATGTGTTCAAAGTCAATTTGGAAAAATCCCGACACTTATGATAGTGAGTTTATTTTCGCTGTCGTGCGAGACATTTTGTTAATATAGCAGCGGCAACAGCGACAACAGCAGCAACAGCAGCAGCAGCGGTAAGCATTTTACAGTCTTTTCTTTTATTACTCAAACTCGTACAGACGTAATAACAATGCAGTTGAAGTGGCATTAAAATGCCAAGTGTTTTATTTTAACACATTCTAAATGTTGCCTATTTACGACGACAAATTATTGTAGTTTGTTTTTCACACATGAATACATTTCAAAAATCTGGCGCATTGTAAAAGTTTTCACTAATGCATAAACCAAAAAACACGTTTTCTCAATATTTTGACTAATTTTTCGTTGAACATTTCATCGATGCAAAAAAAAGAACAGACAACACGGAAGAGCACTGTTGTGTAAAATCCATAAAATGTGTACATACACACAAGTCACATTTACACACAAAAAACGATTGAATTGCAGGCGTAAACAACATACGTGCAAATATTGCAAGAGAGAGAGAGAGAAAAAAATTGTCAACTGGACTTTGTATGATGATTATTATTTCCATCAATTAATTCGTGGGCTGAGAATATTGATATTTAATCGCTTAAATGTGTCGCATTTATCACGCAGCCAATTGATTATTAAATTATTTCCAATTAAATCGAGCGTATTCAATTTCGGCAGCACACTTTTTATGTCGTTCACATCACTGAATTCACTGAATTTATTATTGTATAAATACAATCGTTGCAGTTCAGGAAACATAACTAAATGACCAAATATGTTTGCGTTTGATAAATTATTATTTCCAAGATTTAAACTTTCCACCGATGAACTTGTGGTAATATTCCCTATGGCTGGTAAATCAGCGGGGAATTGAAAATGTGTACTGTTGAGTGATAAGCTTGAGAGTGAACGCATTTTTGCAAATTTTGTTAAACTAATATCTTCAATGGGATTATTCTCTAAATTTAAGGAGAACATTTTGTGACAGCTGTTGAACGCATCGCCAATGTGTGTCAATCGATTGTTACTGAATTCAGTTAGTTCCAAATTTGGTGCACTCATGAATAAATCAGTCGGTAAATTACGAAGACGATTATTGCCGAAAAAAATTTCCGTAAGCTTGGGTAGATTTATGGCTTGTGGCTCAATGGTATCCAATTTATTTGAATATAAATGAAGATATTCGAGACTTTCTAATCCAGAAAATGTATGTGTTTTTAGTATTTTCAAGCGATTTCCGTTCAGTTTCAAGGTTCGCAAATTTTTTAAGCCATAGAATGCTTCGTCTTCAATAGCCGATATTTCGTTCCCGGATAAATCAATGCTTTGCAATTTTTCCGCACTTTTAAATAATGATTTAGTTAGTTTCATTATTTTGTTGAGTTTCAAGTGTAAATCCTTCAAATTGTTCGCTTTTTCAAATGTATTCGGTGCAAGATATTTTATATTGGCCGAATTTAATGTAACCGCTTCAAGATGTGGAAATGCTTCGAAGATTGTTTTTGGGAAATTTTTTAAATTTGATACCGGTCCGATTTCAAAACGTGTCACCATATGTGAATGGTCCATTGGTACGATATTCAATTCAGCACTACTTTGCAAATCGATGGCCGCACCAATGAAACAATATGAGGGAAATGTTTGATCACATTTTACATCAATTGCATTTGCCTGTTGAAAAACTGCCACAATCACGATTATTCGAATGCTGAAAACACAAACAAAAGTTAAAATACCGTGTCTCATTCTCATTTGAGTGAAAAAATATATGTTTCTTTTTTCGAAAAAATAATTCAAACCTTAAAATCTGCATTTTTTCCATTAGAGTCATTTTCGACGGAGTGTGCACTTCTTCATTTAGCACTGACAATCGTTGAGCTCTGACTGAATGTCATTTCGACGCGAAATCGAGTTAATCAAAGTGGCGTCAAAGACAAGGCTAGTCTTATAGTATGTTGACTGAAAGGCATTCAATCGGGGGTCAAGCTGATAAGATAAAAGAAAGTAGCCGCATTTTATTTGCATTTTTCTTTAAATCAAGCAATTGCATTTGTCGTCACATCGAATGTATGTTGATAAAAGGCTGGTTTTCACTCATGCAAGTTATAAATATTCTGAATTATTGTGATAATCAAAAGTCGAACAGCAGCGCAGCAATATGTAATAAAAATCGATGTTAATATCATCAAAAATCATATGAGTCGTGACCCGATTTATTGCAACTAATTGTGTTGAAATATTGTTTAGACAAAACAACCGGAATTTGAATGGCGGTTTTGTCTATCTAGATATTCGTATCTCGCATTCAACATCAATTCAAATCTAATTTGTTCATTAACTTGAAATTGAATCCAGTTTGACGTGTTGCTCATCGATACTCTCTCTCGACTTATTTGAAGAGGCATTTCAATGCGTACATATACATATCACGGTTTCTATATCTTTTCATCACTCTGTTAAATTTTAATAGTGCATTGGCTATTCGATAACGCAATAAATTTTCAATTGAAAGCAATCGCTTTTTTTCTTCTCATTTCACTTTCATTCGATTGAGTTGCAATTATCAAACATATAGCGTAAAAATATATGGCGTCTCCATTTGCATACGATAAATGCTTCTATAAAAATAGGTTTTCTCGTTTAATCCAAATTATGGTTTATAGATCCTTTAAGTTATTACATACTCGCCCATAAAATTTTATGTTTCCATCAAAAAAGTTACCTACAAAAAGTGAAAAAAAAAATTCAAGTTCAAAGTTTTCGGTTCGAGGTCAGTTTTTTCGAGAATAAATTACTTTTACAAATGTGTTACGGATGTTGTATTGGTTTTTCTTAGATTCAAAATAAAACGTCGTACATTCAAATACGAACCGAATGGAATGATTTGAGATTTGCTTGATTCGTGTTGGGATTGAATAATAAAATGAGAAAATAATTTAAGAAAAAAAAATGATTGGAAAAAAAGGTGTCATTGTTTGTGTGAACAACGAAATTGCGTACATTCAGCGTGAATCGTTGGATTTGATAAATTGCCAACAAGTGGATTGAGTCGAGGTATGAGGAATAAATATTGTTTTGTTTTGCGGTTTGTACGATCGTCATCTCAGTCGAATTCTCGTAAAAATACAAAAAATGACGTACATATATTTTTAAAAAATGCAATTAATTTTTATTAACCACCAGGAGTGAATCACATAAAATCGACCGTAGATTGTCGTCGTTGAAATTCATCGGGTAGTGCACATTCGTCGGTCTCTCTCTCTCTCTTTCCGCGCTTCATTTTATGCATTCTTATCGCGTCCAAATGACATATCAAATTGAAGTAGCACAAAAAGATAAGATGTTCCTGCAGAGATCGCCTGCAAAAATAAACACACATAAAAAAATAATCACAGCTGAAAACAAAACAGAAATTAATCGAGCGTAACGACAAAAAACAACACACCGAAAATATGAACGTATAGTCAAAAATGAATAAGCCTTGACCATTAAAATTGAACGTCTTTTTACGATGCAATATTAAAAGCGAAAAGGATTTCATTTTATTGTAATAAATGTCTGAATGAAGTAGAAATAGAGGTTTTTTCTGGATGATTTTATGAACAATCATTGGGGTTTCGTAAGCAGCTTCTCTTGCAGCCTCACACACATGCAGCAACATAAAAATAATTGCATTGTATTGAATTGCCCATAAAATGTATGACGTGGCCATCATGGCCAAATTTTCATCTTGTTTGAAGTTATAAAAGAGCTCCTTGCTTGTGAAAAATATGCCAAACATAGCATATACGAATGAAACGGTGACATAAACAACGGTATTCATTGAATAACATTCATTTGTTTCTTCAGACACATTCATCATTCGATCGTGCAATTCAAATAGAATACGAACATTTTTTTCCGTTACATTTTCGAATGGACTCCTTTTGGAGGTCACCTGCAACGGAAATGATTCGGAAATAGCATAAGAAACGTTGATTAGGTTTGTAACATTGTCTACCTTATTTGGTGGCATTATGAAAGCAATTCGACGTCTCCGTAAGTTTAATGCTGCTCCGTGCGCAATGAATGACTCTTCACCATGATATATTGCCTCATTTAACGTTTCACAATTGTCCAGAATATGTGTCAGACATCTAAAACATTGAGATACATTATGATCGATTGCTGAATGGTACATTGTAAAGAACTCCTACTCGTTTAGTATACTGAATCGTAGTTGAATTATTTTGACCAAGCTTACAAACTGCAAAACGATAAATGATGACACTACAACTGGATACAAAGTGGGAAAGTAATCAGCAAATATCACGTGAATCGGACAACTAGGGAAAAACATGAGTTTACAATCAAATCAATACACTTTTACGTTAGATTAAATCGGATTATATTATTGACTCTTCATTTAATCGAATTGAATCAGTCCAAAAAGAACCAAAAGCATATGAACCAAAGTGGAAAAAAGAATAAGTTAGAAGAAAATGGAAAAAAAGCACCTTTAATCTACTTTGAATCAAAACTTACGGTGGATAAATCCAAATATCATAGACCGAAGTTACCATGTATGAAATGGTGATCGAAGCGACGCAAACAAATTCAAAGTGAAATTGAATGTGCTCTGACTTACGAATTTTGTCATTATTTCCAAGCAATTTGACAATTTCACGGTCGACTGCTGCGATTTGATCAAAAATTCTATCCAATTTCGGGAACTTGTATGTCATTTGCATTGAGTACATTATAACAATAACGCCAAAATACATGCTTAAATTATTACCTGAAAAGTAACAATTCGTGTACATAACTTGGAGCAAACAAATTTCAAAACGAAAAAAAAACAATGCTGAACAACAGAAAGTTCTGAAAACTCGTCAAAAAATAATAAACTTCACTTTAAAAAACATTATTTGTTTCTTACCTATTTTCAATATAATGCTTTTATGTTTCGATAAAATAGTTGAATCATAATGAATCGAAGCGACAAAAGTGAGAATGTAGATGGCAATTACGACGAACCGCATGGTTAAACCAAACCAATACATTTCTTTCGTTTTGAATGCATTTCGATGTGGAATGACTGCAAACTGATCCAAATTTATCGTGACATTGGTGAGAAGAAAAAATCGCCGACGAAAATAAATTAAATTACCTGCGCCAGCGTCCATACGGGCTTTACACCAAAAGTTTTATCAACATAGGAGTTTGTTTTTTTCTCTATCTTAACCATTTCTTCACACGTCTACAGCATTTAAATCAATTGAACGAACTGACGATAGACATTTTTATTACGATTTTTTTTTTGGCTGACTCTCAGTTTAATGACTCACTCATTCACGTTTAAAAGAGTGTTTATGATTTCGGACCGAGATAGTGAGATAGAAAAATGAGTTCATTTGCAATGTTAATCGATTACACGGTCAATTAACTGAAAGTAATTCATCAGAGATCGAAGGCAATTCGAATTTGTGTTTTATCGGTTGATTATATCAGTTGCGTGAGGATAAATCCAAAATGACTTAATTCCATAAATTGAAGTATTATGAGCATTTAATCTTAAGCTACAGTGTGCGACGGCATGAATAAATGTGTAAGCACGTTTTCCATTTCCATTGCGTTGTATCGAAACATAACTCTTTTGAACGATAAAGATTACGAGCGCGTTAAATCAGCTGAAATTTCAAGAGTGTTGAGTGTTTCATTAGAAATTTATTATCGTATAACCTTATTTTTATTCCAAGTGCAAGCACTATCAGAGCCGAAAAAAGGAAACACGGAGTAGTATTTCCTAGTTTAAAAGCAAGCAGCCTTTATTGTGAATTATTATCATAATTGTAAAAAGTAACTAGGGGCTTTGATCAAAATCGGAAAAATGCAAATTGTTTGATAATTCATTAATTATTTTGTGATAAATTCGCAAATGACTACCAAAAATGCTTGCAAAATATTCCAAAACTAGAATTTTTAATGATTTACATTGACCGAACAATTTGATATTACAAATATTATAAAATCGGCAAAATCAGAAGTGAATACATTCAAATAAGGTAAGATTTGAAATTAATGCATTAAGATATGTCAACCTTGCTAATCGCCAATTTTTCTTGATATTTTGAGTATATATAGATAAAAAATCCCCTAGATTTACTAACAAAACATGAATAAGATCGAGGTTATTGGACGTGATATTAATGGTCTTTGACCATTGAAAACAAACTTACAATTGACATTCATGTTATCAGCATGCTCTTGGCGTACATTACGCCCATGTTGTCCTGTTTTCATTGAATTCATATGTAGTAATATGAAATTTCTAGTCTTCATTTCTCTAAATATAAGTTCATAGCAGTACTTGTAATCAGTGTGTTAGTTTTTCGATTGTTTGCTTGTTAAGCATTGTCGAATTTTTTGTAAAAAAAAAATTGCGTGGACGGTGCTTATCACTTCATTCATAGTGTTGGAAAAACCTTCTCTAAAATGTTTTTTTGCACATTTTAATGCGATAAAAAGTTTTGACATTGACGACTCACTACTAATAGCACACTATAAAAGGAATTGAATCATAATGCAGAGCATCAGTCATAATTTAAATTTCAAGTGAATTTTTGTGAAGAATAAAAGAATTAAAATTGTGTTGTCCCGTGAATTATTTGTTGAGAAAAATGTGTGCCGACAACTGTTGTTAAAGTAGCTATTAGCAGTTGCTACAACAGAAACAAGGCAAAAACATTTCTATGAAATTGCCAATTAAATCAATTCGATTTTTCTCTTTTTTTTTTTTTATTTGTTAAGAAGCGAAATGTTTTCAAAGTTTGTTGTGATTTTGTTGTGTGTACACATCAGCTGCGGTGAATTGTAAGTAATTTGATTGGATCACTGAAAATGTCGAATTCAATTTATGTTTCAATCTGCTCCACAAGTCAATTCAATGGAAAAGCATGTTGAAGCATGTTGAAGCATGAAGAATTTGTGTTACTTTATTTCGTTAAGACTTTGAGTCGACACAGTGTACAAATGTGAGTCTAGTGGTTTGTTTCTCTTTACTTCGAAAGTGTTCTTGAAATTTATCAGAAAACTTTGAATTTCTTCCGACATAATTTGGTTTGAATATTTTTAATCACGCATGAAGAACATCAAAGTTTTTGATCAAACGTGCATAGAATTTTTCTTTATTGATGGTAATTAGTTTAAATTGTTGCAAACAGAAATCGTGTACTGTAAAATTCCAAGTATTTTTATTTCAGTAAGCATGAGATGAGTCTATGAATCGAAATGAATTCGCTACAAGCATATTTTACGTAGTTTTATACAAAATGTGTTTATTTTAGTGTGTCCGTGTGTTCTATTTAAAAGCTTTCGATTAATATCCTGTTTGAAGCTAGTTTTAATTTGATTCACGACGTCATGACACAATTTCCCTTTCAAACGAATATAAAATGTTGTAAAGTGCATTCAAATTAACTTCAATTACTGTAAATGCGCAACTCTTGTAAAGTTTTTTTTGGTAACGTGTAAAATATAAATAGCGAATGAGGATGAAAAAAAAACAACTCTTTTTCTTTGCAATCTGGTTGAAATTTTTACGTAAGGGAAATACATAATATGAAATAGGATGAAAATAAATTCAGCCGCATCAGTAACCCATTTACAAAGTAGCCTTGAACTAAATCGTTTGATATCCATTCAAGCACTGGAAATGACTTATCAAAGTTTAAGTACATTGACGGGTGCCCAAGATATTATATTCCACTCGATTCTTCCGCTCTTGATATACTAGTTGTGAATGTCTTATCTTTTATTGCTTTAAAATTGCTGGCAACTAATTATAACTTTGGTTATTATGTCATACATGAATTGCTTGTCGCCAGCTAGAGAAACTGATACAGTTGTTATTGACAAATTTATAATTTTCAAATGCATTAAAATCATGATTGAAATCGATTTCTTTTCATCTGTTATGCAGTAAAAGTGGTATCGGTAAGGATGATGATTATAGTGGTGAAGAAGTTCATGAAGAAAAATTTGTCAAAAAGCATGCTTATCAAACAACAGGTTCCAGTCTCTGGAAATTCCCGTCATTTGGATTTGGATCAAAGTCGAGTTCAAGCTCAAGAAGCTCGTCTGGAAATCAACCGGTTCCATATGATCAAACTGGTTACGATCAATTTAATTATCAATCAGTACCACTGGCGCAAATACCACCGAATGATAATCATACGCAATTTGTTGAAAAACCATGCACACATAAACCGAAAACCATATTAAATGCAGCTACAAAGTGTTCACTTGTTACAAAAACGTGCACGGTAGAATGTATGAATAATTTTCAATTGCCAAATGGAGAGACGAAAACCAAATTGTATTGTAATGCCGATGGTGAATGGCAGATTGAGAATTTGGTTTGGACAGATGGGCTTGGTTGCACAAGCTCGACTGGAAACCAGCAGCTTTCATACGATCAAACTGGCTATATTTCACGGTATTTTATATTTTCTTGTATCGGACTTTGTCCAATCGACTTGGTATGGTTTTATTGTTTTAAATTGAAAGAATGATTTTATGTTAAATGTTTTTTTTTTCTTTGACTGATGGAAATCAGTTCTTTTTAAATAATTTAAATTTTTGGTAATCGTAAGCTCGGTTATGTTTATTACCCTTACTACAAATATCTTTATCATTACACTTTTATTAAAACTTATACATTAAGACTCATAAAACGAATTATTTAAACGAAATTTGCTCAAAATACTATATACATAAATATTTATATTGTCTCACAGTTATGGACAATCTAATGCCCATTCAAAAACCGGATCAGCACAATCTTATGGAAGAACTTGTCAAGATATACCGAGAACCATACTGAACGCGTCCAAAAGATGTTCAATTGTTTCAAAAACATGCACTATAGAATGTTTGAACAACTATCAATTGCCAAATGGAGAAACGAAAGCAAAACAATATTGCGCCGATGGTACATGGTTATTAGAGAATCTTGATTGGACCGATAAACTTGCTTGTGAACGTAAGTAAAACTTTGACGAGGAATTGATTTAATTTCAAAGTTTTCACATTAAATTTTGATTTAGTTTTTTTTTATTACGTAAAATACTTTTGAAATAAGAAAACATAGTACGAATATGAATTAAATTAAAAACTTACAGCTATTTGTATGCCACCTTGCAAAAACAATGGAATTTGTATGTCGCCCGGAACTTGTTCGTGTCCGGAAAATTTCATTGGGCCATATTGTGAACACGAGAAAAAGCTGTGCCTAACGAAACCAGTGGTCCCACATAATTCGAGGTTAATATGCGATATTCGCGTTATTTAGTGTGGGAAGTTTCTCTTATTACATCCAAGACATTTTCTCGTTACACTCTTTATATACAGGTTAATATGCAGTTCAACTAGTTGTACAATTACATGCGCTAAAGGCTACACATTTCCAGACGGTTCATCAATTACGAATATGATGTGCGAAAGTAAGTATTTCTCACAATAGTATTCATACTGAATAATAATGAATAATGTTTTTTTTTTTCATTTAATTAAAGACGGCGAATGGAAACCATCTCGACCTGATCAGACTTTTATCCCAGATTGTCAACGTAACATATTTATTTCAGTTACTTTTTCTTTGTTTTTTTTTTTTATTAAAAAAATCCCTAAATTTGTAGCCACTTGTTCGCCAGCGTGTCAAAATGGTGGAGTATGTTTGTCGTATAATGTGTGTCAATGCGCCAAGGATTATCGTGGAAAACAATGCCAATTTAATGTTGATGTATGTTCACCGAAGAAAATTGAATTCAATGGTGCCTACAGTTGTTCAGGCGACAATGATGCGCTTCGTTGTAAACTATCATGTATAGAAGGTGTTGCATTTTCATTTCCACCGGCTGCTGAATATGTTTGCGAATATGAAAAAGGATACTTTACTCCTTCGCCTGTACCACGATGCAATTACAGTTAGTACTATTTTCTGTAATCCATTTTAAAAGAAAGAAATAATGTATTTCATTTATAAATCTCCAACTTTTCTCATTTCCTCTCCTTCTTTTCGAATATTAAACGCTGTAAAAAATATTGCAGGTGCTGACGTAGAAGTAATTCGTGGCAATGAACTATCTCATTCATACAGCACTGTCAATCGTACAACAATAGTGGGCGGCGGTTTGTATGGTAATAGAACAAAAAAAGTTAGAAAGATCCGTAAAAAGGGTCTTAAGAGTTTTGAGATTGAAGGAGATGGCGAACAAAGTGGCAGCTATGAGAAAATCATTATAAAAAATACAAAGACAATAATTGTGAGAAAAGGCCAGAAAAAAACGCAAAGCAAAGGTGCTTATGAAGGTGATGAATACGAGTATGAGGAATATGAGGATGAAGATGGTGGCAGTGAATTCTATAGTGGAATGCAAGCGATTGGTGTTCAATCATTGTACATTTCAAGTGGATTGACGGTAAAGCATCGTGTACCAAAGCCAGCCACTTGTACAACATGGAATGGCAACAAAGTGAAAACATTCGATGGATTGATATATACACACAACTTACGTTGTTCACATACATTGATACAAGATAAAATCGACGGTTCCTTTGCCATCGTTTTGAGAGCTTGTTCAAATTCAAATCAAGCACCGTGTCCACATGCTCTTGAAATAATGATGTCAAATACGAAATACATTTTAGAAAGCATCAGTAAGGAATTCAATTTGAGCAAAAGTTTTCTGTATTCAATTTTCAACAGAAAATGTGTGTTCGTTTTTATTTTGCAGATGGTTCAGTGGTTTTGTTCAAAGAAGATAAAGAAATGGCGATACCAATGCAAATAATGGGTCTTCGCATCTCAAAAGTTGGGCTCACTTTCAAAATTAGCTTGGAATTGATTGGAATTACTATTTACTGGGATGCACAACGCGGCATGAACATTGAAACAACGGCAGCATTATTCAATCGAACAGCTGGGTTGTGCGGAACACTCGATCAAGATGTAACAAATGATTTTGCATCAAAGGATGGAACCGTTCATAAGACTACCGCAACATTTGTTGATGCATGGCAAACATCAAATTCTGCATGCCAAAATGATGTTATCAATGATGAAGGCATGGAACTTGTTTGTCCCGATGATGTTAAATTGGCCGCTACTGAAATGTGTAAAAAACTTTTAAATAATGAGAAATTCAATGACTGCTTGAAGGTAATTGAGATAAAATTGATAACAATTAGATTGAGAACAACTTTCATTAATTTTGATTTTTGTTTTCACTGGTCAGAACTTGAAAAGAGAAGCAATTTTAGAAGTGTGCATCTCTGACTTTTGTTATTGTAGACATGCAAATCGTAAAGAATGTGCATGTAATGGTCTAACTGTTTTTGCCAAAGAATGTCTCTTCCAGGGTAACACCCTGCAACCAGATTGGAGAAATATGGAACTATGCCGTAAGTCCTTTTAACCGATAGATGTAACAATTAGAAGAAACAAAGAGTTTCGAAACAGGTGCATAAATAATAATGAACATCTTTTTTATATATGTGAAATTTTAAAGCATTATCATGTGAAAATGGCCGGGTGTACAAAGCATGTGGTCCAATCTATGAGAAATCTTGTGGCAGTGCGGTTGAAAATGAAATTTCAACCTCGAATTGTAATGAAGGTTGTTTCTGTCCGGATGGTACTATTCAATATGCCGGAAATTGCATTCGAATTGATGAATGCCCTTGTGCCCTGCGAGGAAAAACTTTCAATGCTGGCAGTGAAATAAAAAAGGACTGTAATACGTGCAAATGCGAAAAAGGTATTTGGAATACTCTATTGGCATGCTCTATTTCTCTATAAAATTGATGTTTCGTTACTCGATGTATTTTTTATTTTAATTTGTTAAAGGTGTATGGAAATGTTCAGACTTGACATGCGGCGCACGATGCTCTGCAATCGGTGACCCACATTATCAAACGTTTGATGGAAAACATTTTGATTTTATGGGAAAATGTTCGTATTATCTGTTAAAAACCGATGATGATATTGAAATCACCGCTGAGAATGTCGCTTGTCCGGGTTAGTATTCCAGGTTTTTACCATCTTTCTTTTCATTTAACAGTTTTGTTGTCAATGGTCACTTGACAAACGAGCATTTCTCATGATTTGATTCGATTCGTCATGACGGTTGGACTCGGATAATTCAAATCGTATAAGTTTGAATTCAAAGAAAATGTCTGAAAACCAAACTGTTTCAGTCAGACTGACTGTGCTTTGAATTTCAATGCATATCGTTCAAAGTGTGTTCTCCAAATAACGTTTGTATTTGTTCTTTTCATCAAATCAATCGCAGGCAGTATTTCCGAATCAATGAACTTTGGTCCGGTGGGCGTTGATATGCCGTCGTGCACAAAATCGGTTGCCATTAAAGTGAAACATGAAAATCAAACAGCTACAATTCATTTAAAACAAGGTCGAATTATTCAAATCGATGGAGTTGAAATTACGAAAATTCCATTGAAAATATTTGACGGTTTTATGCGAATTCGGTTCGCAAGTTCGACAATGTTGCTGGTCGCCTTTCGTGATGGATTGAAATTGTGGTGGGATGGTATGACACGTGTATATATTGATGCGCCGATTAGTTATCGTGGTAAAACAAAAGGGTTGTGCGGAACGTTCGATTCGAATCAACAAAATGATTTTCTTACCCCAGAAAATGATATTGAGTCGTCAGTCGGTTCATTTGCAAATAAATGGCGTACCAAAGAAAGCTGTGATTTTGTTAATGACGATGTAAATATTCCGCATCCGTGTACGGCGAATACGGAGAATAAGAAGAGAGCATTAGAAGTATGTGCGAAATTGAAGAGCAAAATATTCGAAGAATGTCACTGGTACGTTTTGCATTAATTTCAAGTGTAAAAAAGAAAAAAAATGAGTAGAATCCAAAAAAATCGATTATTATAAATCTGTCTTTTTTTATCACAAGGTTTGTTGATTGGCAGCCATACTACGAGGATTGTATGTATGATATGTGTGCGTGCAAGAGTGATACAGCATCGTGCATGTGTTCAATTTTCACGGCCTACGCAAATGAGTGTAATGAACAAGGCAGTATTATACATTGGCGTAACTCGATTCAAGAATGTGGTATGTGGGATTGATTGATTTTTTTTGCTATCGAAGCAAGACTTCTATTTTGCCCACGTTTATTCATCGTGGTTGAATTCGAATCAACTAGATTTAATTACAATCAATTTAATTATTTGGCAGCCATTAAATGTCCTGCTGGCCAAGTCTTTGAAGAATGTTCGGATCGTTGCTATCGTAGTTGCGCCGATATGGAATCATTACCGAAAACATGCCGAACAAAATGTGTGGAAGGCTGTAGATGTCCAGAAGGTCAAGCACTTGACGAGAACAATGAATGTATTCCGATTTCAATGTGTCCATGTGCATATAAGGGTCTTTCATTCAATGCTGGTTACAAAGAAGTTCGCCCCGGTACAAAACACTTAGATTTATGGTATGTCATCGACAATTCTTACGTGGAAATAAGCTTTGATATCGATTTGTCTCTCTCTCTCTCTCTCTATTTCTATTTTCAATGATACAGTACATGTGATAGTGCTGATTGGAAATGTGTCGAAGCAACCGATAGCGATAAAGATAAATATCCGCCAGCTGCTGATTTACGAAATCAATGTTTAGTCGATAAAAACGAAGAATTCACAACGTGTCAACCTGTTGAGCCGAAAACGTGTAAAAACATGAACAATTACGTGCTAAAATCGGCAATCGATTGTCGGCCAGGCTGTGTTTGTAAAAAAGGCTACGTTTTAGATGTTGCATTGAACAAATGCGTACTGCCAGTTGATTGTTCGTGTCATCACGGAAGCAAGAGCTACAGTGATGGTGAACAAATCAAGAGTGATTGCAACACATGCATTTGTGAGAGTGGAAATTGGGTGTGTACGAAACGAATTTGTCCAGCAACATGCACTTCTTATGGCGATTCGCACTTTACAACCTATGATGGCAAAGACTTTGACTTCCAAGGTGCTTGCAGCTATGTACTGTCAAAAGGTGTGATTGATTCCGGCGAAGGATTTACGGTTACACTTCAAAATGTGATGTGTGGATCTCAGGGTGTAACGTGCGCAAAATCCGTGACAATTACATTGCACGGCAATGAACCGGAGTCTATAACATTGAACTCCGATACAACAGTACCGGGTGCACTTTTGAGTCGACAAGAAACAAATGAAATTGTTCACAAAGGAAAGAAAAAGATTATGCAAATTCATCGGGCTGGTGTGTTTGTTGTTGTTGAAGTGCCCGGATTGGGTGTACAAATTAAATGGGACCGAGGAACTCGAATTTATGTACAGTTAACTAGTCGATGGAAGGGACGTGTGCTGGGTTTGTGTGGAAATTTCGACGGTGACGCACTAAATGACTTTGAATCACCTTCGACGGGATTGGAGTCGAGCGCGGTGCTATTTGGAAATTCATGGAAACTCGAAGATTATTGTCCACGTAAGTTAAGAAAAGATTTTAAGAAAATATTTGAAGTAAGAAGACGTTTTTTCCATTGCATAGAACCAACTGAGCAAATCGATGCATGTTCAACACATCCGGAGCGAAAAATTTGGGCTGAGAAAAAATGTGGAATTTTGAAAAGTTCCATTTTTAGTGCGTGCCATTCTGAAGTTGACGTTGATAAATTCATGAAACGATGCATATTTGATTCGTGTGCTTGTGATCAAGGGGGTGATTGTGAATGTCTTTGTACAGCAATTGCAGCATACGCTCATGTTTGCACAATGAAAGGCATTCCCATTAGATGGAGAACACAACATTTTTGCCGTGAGTAGTTTTTTTATCACTTTGCCAATACTTGGAATGTCTTGAAAAGATTAATTCGTAAAGCAATTTTTTATTTTTCAATCCCTTCTTCCATCCTTCACTAGCGATGCAATGTGATCCCCATTGCTCTGAATACAAACCATGTATTTCGGCTTGTGGCGTTGAAACTTGTGATAATATACTTGATCAAGGAAAAAATTCAAAATTATGCACCGAAGATACATGCGTTGAGGGTTGTCATATCAAACCGTGTCCATACGGTGAAATTTATTTGAATGATTCATACACGGAATGCGTTTCAAAATCAATTTGCAAGCCAATCTGTTTGACTTTAAATGGTGTCGATTATTTTGAAGGAGATGTAATCAAAAGTGATAATTGTCAAACGTGTCACTGCAGTAAGGGAAAACAGATTTGTGTCGGTGTTCCTTGTACGGTGACAACTACTTTGCCATTCCATGCACCTGTCGTTATGAACCAAGATGAGTCTGCCACTTGTAAGACTGGTTGGAGCGAGTGGATCAATCAGGAAAGCTTAAGCGATGGCCAAAAATCAAAGAATCTCACCAAGTTCAATGACAACGAACCTCTACCAAACGCATTCATGTTGAAAAATTTTAAAAATTCTGCATTCTGTGACGCTAATTATATGTCGCAAATTGAATGTCGCAGTGTCGATTCACATTTACATCCAAAAGTAATTGGCGAAGATGCTGAATGTTCATTGGAACGGGGATTAGTTTGTGAAGGTCAATGTCACGATTATGAAATTCGTGTGTTTTGCAATTGTATCATCGATGACGTCGAAATTATGACACTTGATCATACAACTCCGCGTTACGTTCAACCAATTTATCAATCGAAAATAATCGAAATGACCACGGCCACTCCGACAGTTTACGGTTCAATTTGTAATCCAGCCATTCCACACGTTGAAAAGCCAGGAAACTGTCACGAATTTTATCATTGCACAATGAACACTTCGGGTGTTTGGACATTCGTTGAAAAATCCTGCGGTAAAGATATGATGTTTCATCCACAAGCAATGGTTTGTGATCATATTGACAATGTAAAGCGGATCAAACCTGAATGCGGTCAATTGCAATATAATGTAAATAATGAAGTGAATAAGGTCACCGAAATTGAGAAAATTATTGAAAAGACTACAATCATCCAAAAAGAAACGAAGAACCCACTATATGGATCGATTTGTAATCCGGCCATTCCACACGTCGAAAAACCTGGTAATTGTCACGAATTTTATCATTGCACAATGAACACTTCGGGTGTTTGGACATTTGTTGAAAAATCCTGCGGTAAAGACATGATGTATCATCCACAAGCAATGGTTTGTGATCATATTGACAATGTTAAACGGATTAAACCACAATGTGGCAGCGAATGGGAAAACGAAATTATTCAAGACATTTCAGTAATTTCAAAACTCGAGAAAAAATGCCCGATCGGTCATGTTTGGAGCGAATGTGCGGTACCATGCGGTCGAGCTTGTCATTTCTATGACAAATTCTTACAGAAGAGTGGATTGTGCACTGGAAGTTGGAACTCGTGCGAAAAGGGATGCGTGCCGGAAACAGCAGCGGCTGATTGTGGACCTGGGTATTATTGGCGTGACAATAAACTTTGCGTGAAAAAAGCCGACTGTACGTGTCAAAGTGATGATGGAAAAATTGTTAAGGTATATGCTTTGACCGAATGACGTATTTAAAATTGAAATTTTATTTTTAATTGAAAAATGGATATTTTTCTATATTTAGCCTGGTTCAGTTTATAAGGAATCTGATTGTAAAATCTGCCAGTGTATTGATAATTTATATGTTTGCGATGTACAAACTTGTCAACGTCAAGTAAACTCAGTTACCACTGTCGTTAAACCAATTACCTCTGAAATTATTGAAGAATCAATAACCGTTGTAAAGAAGCCAGAAACAGAACCAACTCAAGTTGTGATCAGCACAGTAACACCACCAGCCGACTGTGCACCAGAAAAGTAATGAGAAAATACCTTTAATGTTTTATCAAATTTTAATTTCTTTCTACTTTTTTTGTCATTTTCGCTTGCCAGTTTGATTCCAATGGTAAATGGTAAAATTCCTCTTCCAGATACTGCATTCAATGCCAGCAGTTATTTGACAACATCATTTAAACCACACTTTTCCAGACTCAATTCACAAGCTACACCTTTCTCACGTACGTACCTCCTGAAAGAAATGTCAATAATTGCATGCGATTGAAATTAATTCCATGGACTATGTTTTGTTCTTCGTTTTAGGCGGATGTTGGTCCCCGGAAATCGATGATCAAAAGCAGTACTTGCAAATAGCCTTTGAAAAACCTGTACCGCTATACGGAATTATACTACAGGGGAGTCCAACATTTGATCAATATGTAACAAGTTTTAAGATTTTACATAGTCATGAAGGTGGAGCATTCCATAATCTTGTCGATGAAACGACAAAATCACAGATTTTCAATGGACCAATTGATTCGCGTACGCCAGTAAAATCAATGTTCAAAATTCCAATCGAAGCAAAAGTAATTCGAATTTATCCGTTGACGTGGCATGGAAAAATCGCCATTCGAACTGAACTTCTTGGTTGTTCGCCGTACAAGGTGGTCGAGGAAGCAAACACAATACCTCCACATCACGAACAAATCGAAGAGCAACCAATTTGTGACGATCCACTTGGTGTTGATACTGGAATTTTGAGACAAAATCAAATCAAATTGAGTTCATTCAAAACCAGCATCCCAGAAATAAAAGCCAAAGAATCATTGAAACTGTCATCGTTGATTGGTTGGCAACCAAATATCGATTCACCAAATGAATACGTTTTGTTCGATTTCCTTCAATTGCGTAATGTAACTGGAGTTAAAACGAAAGGCGGTGACCAGTGTTGGGTATCAGCATACTATATATTATATACACAAGACTTTGTCATTTGGAATAAACTATTGAATGGAGATGGAAGCGGCGAACAATTGTTTTTGGGTAATTTCGATGGTATCAATGAAAAATCCAATTATTTCCGATTTCCACTAAAAGCTCGTGCAATCAAAGTCATACCAACCAAATGGCATAATTGTATCGAAATGAAAATCGAACCAGTCGGATGCTTCCTTCCATATGAATACTCAGAAATTGTTTTGGAATCAACCACATCATTCGTACCAATAAATGTTCATTGTAGCATTTGCCCAGGTGTTGACAGTGCATCGAGCGCAATCGAAAGCGTTTGCAAATGTAAGTCGGAGGAGTTCTGGAATGGAGTCGATTGTGTAGCTCGAAGCATGTGTCCGTGTGTCGTGAATCATTTGACCTATGGAGTTGGAGCTCATTTTGAATCAGACGATTGCTCGCAATGTACTTGTGTTTTGGGAGGCATTGTCCAGTGTAAACCACAGGATTGTAAGCCTTGTGGAAAGGGATTGCGACGTGTTAAATCATCAGCATGCCTTTGTCTTTGCGAACCATGTCCAGCTGGTCATCTCCTCTGTCCCACAAGTGGCGCATGCATTCCAGAATCATCGTGGTGTAATGGCGTGCAAGACTGCCCTGATGATGAAATAAACTGTTCGTACAAACACCAAGCGCAAACTACAAAGGTCATAACGAAAGTGAAGGAAAAGATCGTCATTACGAAAACTTGCCCAGAACCAAAATGCCCACCTGGCTTTTATGTGAAGGTTGTGCCATCGAAAAAAGGCAAACCTTCAGCTTATTCACCATTATCCAATGCAGTTGAGGGCATCTACAAGGAATCGAACGAAGATAACACGGAGATTCATTCAAAGCTACCATTGCCAAGTGATACACCAAATGAAAAGATTAAAGACGATTTTAAATGCGTCGAATATAATTGCATACCAGAAAGAGTAACCACTATATCGCAGACGGAGAAAATTGTTTGTGCAGCACCTTCTTGCCCAAGCGGTTATGAAGTTGTTTTTGAAACGACACCGCTTGTAGCGGCCTGTTCAAAATATAAATGCGAACCGATTGCAAAGCATGATGTCGTTTGCAAAATCACAGGAAGAACATTCAGCACATTTGATGGCACCGAGTATAAATATGATGTTTGTGATCACATTTTGGCTAGAGATTTATCATCAAATAATTGGACCATTTCAAGTGAGTATCAAAAGTTTGAATTTAGAAAAAAATGGAAATAATTTGACATTTATTTTTCTTCTTTAATAGTTCAAAAGAATTGCTCAACGGGTGGATTTGTGTGTCGCAAACAAATTACAATTACCGATAAAACGTGTAATTTGGTCGTTATTTTGAATACAGATTCAACCGTCAAACTTGATGACTACGAATACACAATTGATCAATTGAAAAACTCCGTTTACAGCCAAAGGAATTTGTTCACAATCTCAAAAGTGGGCAATTCAATTTTATACGTATCGAATTTGCAAGACATTTGGATACGATTAGATGACACTGGTGATGTGAAAGTAGGAATTTCATCAAAATACAAATCATTTGTCGATGGATTGTGTGGTTATTACAACGAATATTCAAATGATGATAAGCGTTTACCCGATGGAACCGAAGTGATTTCAACGGTTGACTTTGGCGATGGTTGGTGGCGCGATCCAACATCCAAACCCAAATGTGAACCAAATGCTTGTTCGCAACAAGAGCAAGACACAGCATGGGAAATGTGCAACAAAATCAAAGACGAAGCATTTGAATCATGTGCAAATGTCGTAAATGTCGATAAGTTTATTTCGAAATGCTTGGAAACTGCATGTGAATGTCTTAAATCTGGTAAAAGTGCGCAAAATTGTAAATGTTCATTACTACAAAGTTATGTATCGGATTGTATGGCTGCCGATGAAAATCTTCATTTCGATACTTGGCACTCTAAATTTGATTGCGTAGTTGAATGTCCCGCTCCATTGGTGCATCGTGATTGCTATCGCCGTCGGTGTGAACCATCCTGTGACACGCTCAACAAAGAAAATTGTCCATCTTTACCAGGCACTTGCTTTAGCGGGTGTTATTGTCCAGAAGGTACCGTTCGAAAGGGAGAAGCATGTGTTCCAGTTACCGACTGCAAAAATTGTGTATGTGACGGTTTCGGTAGTTCACAGTACATCACTTATGACCGAAAAAACTTTACATTCAACGGAAATTGCACATATCTATTATCCCGAGATGTTAAAATACCAAATGCACACACATTCCAAGTTTATGTATCTCTCGCTCCATGCCCAACATATGATTTGGATGTAAGAGGCAGTTTTAATTCGGAACAAAGTTGCACACAATCTTTGCACATTTTGTATGGCCAGCACATTATTCATTTGCAGAAAAGTACACAGAAACAAGATGCATTAGATACTTTGGTCGATGGAATTGCTGCACCGTCGTTACCGTTCAAAAATGAATGGGTTTTGATAGAGGAGCAGCGAGGAAAGGGAGTTAATATTGAATTAATTAAATCGTTGGTTGAGGTGAACACAATATTCGATGATTTGTCATTCTCGATTAAGATTCCAAGTGCGAAATACAGTAATTCAGTTGAAGGGCTTTGCGGTAATTGCAACGGCGACCCATCAGATGATCTCAAACCAAATCCAAAACATTTGGATAAAGTGAAATCAAACAATTTGAATGATATTTTACAAACTTGGTTGGCCGACGAGCCGGCATTGAATTTGAAAGAGAAATGTATCAGCGAAACTAAGATCTCCGAAGTATGTGTTCCACTACCACCAAACGACGATCCATGTCTGCAGCTACTCGATCAAAAAACATTCGGTCAGTGTCATTTGATTGTGAATGCTTTGAGTTACGTATCCATGTGTCAAAATGATATGTGTAAGACAGGTCCAAATCAGAAAGGAGCTTGCTCACATTTCGCCGCATATGCACGTGAGTGTTCTCGTAATGGAATTTGTGTTGACTGGAAGAAAGGTGCATGCAGTGAAAACTTCGAATGTCCAATCGACATGGAGTATAAGGTATGTAATTGTCATAAGACGTGCGACATGGTGAAAGAAAAATCGAATATTTTGCTCGGAACTTGTGCTGAACCAGTTGACGGATGCTTCTGTAAAGATGGAAAGGTATTGAACCAATTCGGAAAATGTGTGACTGAAAAAGAATGCTCACCATGTGATGATAACAATCACTTTGTTGGGGATAAATGGCAACCGGACAAGTGTACCGACTGTGAATGTACCACCAGTGGAAAGGTTAGTTGCACCAAAAAACAATGTGCTGTCAGTGGAGCCATTTGTCAAGTCGGTTTCAAAGAAGTCATCATTCAAGGTTCATCAAATGATTGTTGTCCGAAATATAAATGTGTACCGGAATTAGTTTCATCTACATGTCCTTTGAAACCACAGCCACAATGTTCTCCTTATCAAAACACCAAGATGATCATTGACACCAATAATTGTACGTCATATGTTTGTGTGTGCAAACCATTGAATGAATGTGCATCAGTTCAAAATCGTCCATTGCGAGCGGGTGAAAAATTGGTCAAACAAACAACGGGATGCTGTCCGCAAGACGAAATTGTTTGTGATAAATCAACGTGCCCAATTAAACCAACAAAATGTGATCAACTGTTCTATGAACTCATTAAAAAAGACGATCACACCTCTGATTTATGTTGTGATGAATTCATTTGTGTACCACCGAAGAATTTGTGTCTGCTTCAAATTGATGGAAAGACAATCACAAAGAAAATCGGCGAAAGTTGGCCAACGGATGAGCCATGTATTAAAAAGAAATGCACATATGGAGCGAATGGATCGCCAATTATTTCAGAAGAAAAAGAAATTTGTCCAGTTAAATTGTGTGGACTGGGATTTAGATTGGATGGAACAAAAGATAAATGCTGCGGTGTATGCATTCAAGATAAATGTGTCCTTGATGGAAAAACATATGCACTTGACTCGACGTGGTACAGCAAAGACAATTGTACTACTTTTAAATGTTCTTTGCTTGGAAACCAATTGGTGGTGTCAAGTTCACAGTCAACATGTCCTGATGTTAGCGCTTGTCCAAAGGAACATCGATATTTCGAAGATTGTTGCGAACGATGCAAGCAATCGATTGAAGATAAAAGTAAATTTTATCCCATTTGATATGATAACGATAATTGGCTGGATGAAATTTAATTAATTAACTCTTTTTCAAACTTTTTAGAATCATGCCTTGCAATCTCATTGAGCGATTCGCAAACCATTGGCTTGGTGGAAATGAATCAACAGCCACACGGACAATGTATAAATACAGAACCAATTCGTGGATTCACAGAGTGTCACGGTGCTTGCGATTCAGGAACAAAATACAATCGATTGACGATGAAACAAGATAAAAAGTGCCTTTGCTGTTCAGTTGCAAGTTCCGAAGAACTAAAAATACCTGTTAAATGTACCGATGGATTCAAACAAACGATTGCTGTTTCAGTTCCAAAAACCTGCAATTGTAAACCTTGCGAAGAAGATGAATCACATAAGCACAACGACCAATTTCTCGATTTTTTGAGATCAACTGTAGTGTATTAAGATTATAATTTAAAAAAAAAAACATTGATATGATATAAGATCGAAAAAAGGTATTTTTTATTCATAATTTTGTTCGAAATCAAAAATTTAAGAAAGTAATTAAAAAATTCATTTGAATCGAATACTCCAAATGACAAATTGACGGCTATATTAGTAGTAATAAAAGCTGTGAACGATACGATCAATTTGTTGTTGTTATTTTATTTTAAGTTGATATGTACATTTTACAAGCGAAATACATAGGTGTTGAGGTGGGTTCGATTTACCATTTATTGTATAGTATATACTACAAAAATAGTTTCAAAAAACTTTTCTCCGGTGAAATTAAACTTTAGATAGACTCGATGTTTTTGTAAAAGTTATGATTGAATGTTGCCAAAGTAACTGTAATAAGCAGCGGATCCTCGATTACAGAAATAGACTGTAGACTGTTTCATGTATACTTTCGAAAATGCCTAAGAAAATTCGAAAAGGCGTTCAAAAAAACAGCGTTGAATCTCAGGAATCAAAAATGTATGAAGCCTTCATTTTTTACAACATTTAATTCTTTATTCTCTTTGCCATTTTAATTACAATTTTATGCTCTAAATATTGAGGAAACAGTTAATAAAGTCATTTATTAAGAGTATTTGTTTCGTATGTTCATTACAAACATTTCGAAACTGTCTGACTCCAATTTTTGGTATTCTGAAAAATTGTAATGAAGAAAATAAAAGAAACTTATACTCGTATGAAAGAAATTTCAAAGAAAATTTGAAACAACGAACTTACATCAATAGTTGATAGTTTGTTAACCTGTAGATTGATTTGACCTCTCATAATCGTGGCAAATGTCGAAAAACATGCATCAAAAGGTTGGAAACGCATTCCTTTTGTACAAGATTGAAATGCATTTGAATTACTTTGTCTTAACCTTTGTACTTCAGTAAACCAAGTGTTATACTTTCGATCATCACCAACGACATTTTTTACTTCTTTCTGTGGAATTACAAATCAATTTGTAGATAAAATGAATAATATAATGGAAAACGCAAAAAAACACGATTTTTTACCTCAAGACAATTGATGGCGCCTGCAATTGCCACAAAATCTTCGGTTCCACCCGCACTTGATGGAGTTACAACAAATGCTGCAATACAAAGCAAATAAATCGCAAACATTTTTTGTTATTTTTTCTACCGATTGTTATAAGTTTGGAGACGACGATCACTACAATGACTTTGTAACTTTTGTGATTCTTTATTTATAGCAAATGGCAAATGACAAAATTATCAAATGACCATAAAACAGGCAAAAGATTAGCATAATAAATGAAACGTTACTCTTGTTTACACGGTGAATGTCTTATCATAAAGTAGGTTGTTTTGCGAGTCATATCAACTAAAATGTTAAGCTTGCGTATAATATTAAACAATCAAAATGATAATTTGAATTTGTTGATTTTTCACAAAAATCCCCGACATTCAAATAAAATGATTAAGATATTGTTCGAATACCGAACCGATTAATTGCTTTTGTTGTGCCAAAAAGCACATACGCACTATGTTTTGAATTTTATACTTCGAGACCGAACAGAAAAACTAACTGCACAGATTTGCAATGGAAAATGGCTTCCTGATTTGCTTGAAATTTCTTCAGTGTATCTGGCAACAAAATAACAATTCGGCTCAATGAGCTACATTTCTCTCACGAAAACTGAGCTTGACTGTTCTTATTTTTTTGATTTGGGACTCAATAAATCAGAATCTGAATATCAGATGTGTTTCAAACTTAATACTTTATAGTTTATAAACATTAAAAATCTAGTTTGTCATTGTCTTCGTTTCATTTCTACGTTTGTTTCAAAGCAAATTCCAAATGTACATGACCACAATTCACATAAAAAGATTTGATCATTCTACACAATTTTTGTATTTTCTACAGAGGATCACATAAGCACAACGGTCACTGTGTGATAAAATGAAATATATTGAAGCCTTCATTATATAAAGCGAAAATAATTCCTGCGGAATTATGAATAGGCGCCCTTAATATTGAGGAAAAAATGAATAAAGAGTATTTGTTTTCCGTGTTCATCAAAAACATTTCATGACTATTTTACTCCAATCTTTGGTTTTCTGGGAAAATTGTGATAAAAAAACTCATATACAGATTCAATTCACGAAAATTTAAAACAACCGACTTACGTCAATAGTTGATAGTTTGTTGATCTGTGCATCGATTTGAATTCCCACAATTTTGGCAAATGGCAAAGAACATTTATTTAGGTGGGTAATTAAGTCACCATCATTTGGAAACAAGGGTGGAAACCATCCTTCAGAACAGGTTTGAAATACTTTGAGCACATTTTGTCGGTTTTTTCGTAGGTCAGTAAACCAAGTGGTAAATTTTCGATCATAACCAACGACATTTTTGACTTCTTTCTGTGGCATAACGAAACAATTTGTAAATAAAATGAATTACCACGCGCACTTGATGGAGTCACAACAAATGCTATAATACAAAGCAAATAAATCGCAAATATTTTTCGTTATTTTTCTACCGATTGTTATAAGTTTTGAGACAACGATCACTACAATGACCTATTAGCTTTTGTGATTCTTTATTTATAGGCCAACAATTATAGCAAATTCTCAAATGACCAAAACGCTCAAAAGATTAGAGAGATAATAAACGAACTGTTAATATTTACACGGTGAATCCCTTATCATAAAGTAGGCTCTTATTGCTTTTGTTGTGCCAAAATGCACGTCATATTTCCACTCAATGGTCTATATTTTTCACTCAAAAACTGAGTTCTTAATTTATTGGGATTTATTTAAAAATCTGTTGTGTCTTCATTTCTACGTTTGTTCTAAAGCAAATTCCAAATGATTTGTTCATTCTACACATTTTTTGTACAGTGTACAACTTGATTTTACGAATTGTTTAATTCACCAAAATCTGTAAAATGTACGAAACAAAAAGAGCTACAAAATATTTTTGAAAAAATGATACAAAGGAAATTTCTGAGAATATGTGAAATTCTTATATTAAGTAGGTAATAAAAGTTCCAATCGTAGTTAACATATTGAGCTGTAAATGTCTATAAAAATCAAAATCCGTTTTTATTATTTAGTTTAAAATCTATCGTTATTAGATCAACATCTATTTGTAAATTTTCAAGTCAAGTTTTTTGAAAATTCACATTATTTCATTCAATAAAAACCGAGAAATCGAAGAATTTCTGATGATGGGTTCGAGATTTTTTTTTATTTTTTTGTTGATATTTGTTATTCTCCATTTAACTGGAGGATCCAGTTGCCCCCATCCAAACTTCGTCGCCAAACACGTAAATACAGTTGATATTGCGTCAAAAGAAAATGCAGAACTATTTGCACAGCAAGTGGAATCATTTCGAAAAAGTATTGGAGGACGCTTCACTCATAAAAACACAATATTTTTTTCAAATGGAAAACCGATTGCCTATAGAATTAAGTCAGGAAACGAAGAAATTTGCAGTTTTTCGGAACCTTTGACAAACTACGTTTGCATTTTTAATAACGGAAGTTGGAACTGCACGAAGAATTCGCAAAAATTATGTGCACAACATGCCACAAATAAAAATGGTCACTACTTGTACCATATAACATCATACAAATGTCCAAAGTTGAAATAATATTTAACACACAATTGATTGACAGCAAAATTTTAAAGTGAAATTAAATTAGAATAGAATAATAAAGAAGGAATAATTTCAAAAGAAATAACCATCGCTTACTCAATTATTATACTCCCTTTCACATCATCTCGTTGCTCTTTCACAAAACCAATGAAAGATATCAAAGCTGCCAACAAGCGCAATCAGTCTGTAATCAATGAGTCAATTAAAAATTATAGAAGCCATATTCTTTTTAAAAAAACGCCAAAAATAAAATCATTCAATCAAATCAGCATATTTTTGTATAAATTTCAGATTTTGTTCTTATGAAGCAAATTGACGTCCGCATAATATTAGAAGTTGTATAGATCTTAATCAAAATAACATTGCTGCAGGTAAAAATGTATCACATGCAATAGAAAACGCTTTTATTACATCATAATGTAATGAATTTATTTATGACATGTTCCGCTACATTTTTTTTGGAGAATTTATTGTAAATTTTAGATATAAATTGATCTAATTTAAGCACATCTCATTTCATTTGAGATTCGTTATTGAAAATAAAGAGAAGCATATCCGAAAATAGTGCAACGCTGAGAAAGGTTTTTTTCATTTTCCAAAATTAAAATGGATTTGAAATTGGTTTTGTTATTTTCTTACATACAAGTTTGCATTGGCGCAGATCAAAAGTTTGCATACGAACTTGATAACCCATATCAAAACACCAATTACTTGAAATTAAAATCAGAATATAATTCTATTGTTCGACATAAACGAGCAGGTATAAGAAATGGCTACAAAATTAGAAACGAATCTCATTTCATTGTTTCTTTAAATTGAATTATTAAAAAGGTACAAACAATAATCAGTGCGGAGGGGTTCCAGTCAAACAAAATGCACGTTCCACTTGCTTAGATGAAAATGATTGCTACATGCAATGTGACGTCAACTATCAGTTTCCGAATGGAAAAACAAAAATCGATCTGATTTGTGATGGCAGTGAATGGCATTTAAAAAATCTTGGAAAAGTCGATCAATTCGAATGCGAACGTAAGCGAATATTTTTTATTTTCATTTTACTCAATTGTCAATCTATCAATTAAATGTCATGTATTCCAATAGCTATTTGTAATCCAAGTTGTATAAACGGTAAAACATGCATCGAACCGAATGTTTGTTCGGATGAAAAATGTGAAACTGTACCTTATATAGATCACTCGGTACCAAACTGCACTTCATTCTATTGCCTCATTACTTGCGAGAACAATTACAGTTTTCCGGACGGTTCGACGACCATTGAATTGGTTTGCAATAAAAAAGGCCAATTTCAACCAATCAAACAAAATCAATACTTACCTTCCGCTTGCTACCGTAAGATTCAACAATTTCAAAGAAGGAACTTATTAAAATGTCCATTTTTACAGCTGCTTGCAATCCACAATGTCAGAATAATGGCACTTGTACAGTGCAAAGAGTATGCTCATGTCCATCAGGATACGGAGGAAGGTACTGTGAAATTGATGAAAGCTGTAAATCGAAACCAATTTCACAAAATGCGATGCAAAACTGTACTACAGATAAATGCCTAATTTCTTGTAACAAAGACTTTAAACTTCAAGATGGATCGACAGAAATGGTACTGGTTTGCAAGGAAGGCCAGTGGATATCCAGCAAGAACTTTACTTCAAATTGCTCACGTAATAAAGCAGGAATAAACTTGAATTTTGCTTAGTTGTATTTTATTTGATTACAGCTAATTGTGCGGCAGGTTTGATTTACTCGCAATGTGGCCCCATTTTACAGCAAACTTGTCAAAATCCTGGATACAGCAATGCAACATGTGTTGCAGGATGTTTCTGTCCACGTGGGCTTGTCAAGCAAGATGGTAAATGCATTCAATTAGATCAGTGCCCTTGCATGTATGACGGAGAATATTTGGCAGCTGGAGAAGAAACAGTTTCTGCAAGTAAGGTTTGGAATATTGTGAAAGAACAAATCCAATTATGTGTGATTTCCTTGTGAAATATAGATGAGGGGTCATCATACGCGACAGCGTGTAAGTGTCAAAATGGTCAAATGAATTGTGCGGCGAAAAAATATTCAAGAATACGTTGTGCCGCCTATGGAGATCCACATTATAAAACATTCAGTGGATATCGTTATGATTTTATGGGACAAGGCACATTTCGCATGGTGAAGTCGGATGAAATTGAAATTTTTGCTCACAATGCTGGTTGTCCTTGTGAGTTTTTTTTTTCGCATTTAGGTTCTGAAAACAAAATACTCAATTTGTTAGTTTTTCAAAACTTATCTTCAATAATCTTTATTTGATTGAAAATAGATTCGTGGAGTGCTACATCGTGCATTGATTCGGTGACAATAAAAATAAACAATACGAACAAAACTGCTGCAATTGTGCTGGGGAAACATTCCGAAGTAAAAGTCAATGATAAGTACATGAACGATTTGCCCATGTATGTTCTCGGCGACTATACACTCATTTCAAAACCGAGTTCATCAAAGACGTCGGTGATTTTCAAAAATGGGTGGCGAGTTTATTGGAATGGTAAGGATGCACTACAAGTCGATATAACATCTTTATACTCTGGTGATTTAAATGGACTTTGCGTTTCACCAAAAAGCCAATATACAAGACACAAAAGATCAACTGAAACGCACATGAAAGATTGGCTTATGGCAACCGCGAAAGAATCTTGCAATGGAGAAGGTTGCAATCAAATCGAAAAAGCGCTCAATCTGCCCCACCCTTGTAATAAAAATGCAACCAGTAAAAAGCAAGCAGAAGCGAATTGTGCAAAATTAAAGACAGCATTCACAACATGTCATGAGAAAATAATTTCTGAAAACTATTACAACGATTGTATGTATGATGTCTGTGCATTTGATGGTGATATTCAATTGGGTTTGTGTCCAAGTTTTGAGGCTTACGCCAATGAATGCAGTCAAAAGGGAAGCGTAAATAATTGGAGGCAATCAGTTGAGGAATGTGGTGAGTGTCATTTTGCCGCTTTAAGTATATTTGATTTAGTGTTAAAGTTGTATCAAAATTCGCAGTAATTGAATGCCCACCTGGACAAGTCTACGAGGAATGCTCCACTGAATGCTATCGAAGTTGTTCTGATTTACAATTAGTGCAACGAAATTGTAGCAGAGATTGTATTGATGGATGTCGTTGTCCCAAAGGGGAAGCTCTTGATAACAGTTCACATTGCATTCCAATTGAAATATGCCCAGGCAATTATTCCATTCCTATTTTCAACAGTGTATCCATGAATAACACGGAAATAAAGTACGTATATCGTAAATACCATAAAATTAGTGGTGTAATGAATCCAATAAAAACTTATCGCATTTTTCATCAGTGCATTCAATGGAACAGAAACTCATAAAGGTGAATCAGTCACATCGCCAATATTTGTCAGTACAGAATGTAAAACCGAACCGTTCACCGAGAATGCCGTGTTATCGAATTGTGATTTTAACAAGTGTAAAATCATTTGCAATGAAGGCTATTCATTCGCAGATAAATCAACGATTATGGAAATGACATGTGAACACGGCATATGGAAATATTCGCAATCAAACAACAATTCATCTGGCATTTGCTCATGTAATCTGGAAGATTCAGTCATATATTCTTTTTTGTTATTTAATTTTGTTTTGATTGTTTTTTCAGCCGTTTGTGATCCTTTTTGTCAGAATGGTGGAATTTGTACGCAACGAAATGTGTGTTCGTGTTTGAAGGAATTCGAAGGAGATCACTGCGAAAATGGTTAATACATGAAATTTTATACCAAATTTTGTCTATTCAAAAACATATTTTTTGCAGCAACCAAGAGTTCTGTTTTATATGAGCAATGTGTAAATCTGTGCAATCGAGGTTGTCCATATTTGAAATTATTTACAAGAAGCTGCACTAACTATTGTGTTGATAAATGTGATTATCTAAAAATCAAAGTAATACCATCTGAAGAGACTATCTCTATTTCAATTGGAAATCAATAAAGGGCAAGATGGAAATAAACGATGTCAATATAATATATTAATAAAAATGCTTCTATTTCTCATTGTTATAGATTAAATTTTAAAGTGAAAGTAATGAATAAATAACATGCATTTTGATACTTTCCAGAATTACAATTACAATATTTTATATGTATTTTGGTAAATAACTTTTGTTTTCTTTTCCCAATGACCTTATTAATATCAAAATATTGTGTTTAATCACATGACAAACCTTAATAACACTTCGTCGTTCAATAAAAAATGTATTCAATTAAAAATTGTCTAAGTCGCTTAGAACTGAAAATGTTTCATTTCTGTATTTTTTATTGGTTTACCAAATATTTTACTACTTATTCAATTTGAATCGTGTACTTGTCTCACACAAAATTCGTTGGTTTACGTAATTCGAAGCAGAAATTTCCAAGGCCGCTTTAAAATATTCCATGACGTAATATAACGCCAGTCATTAACAACAAGTTGAATATAACACGTGTTTGATGTGTTTTCATCTTGAGCAATATTTTTGAATATTTCATAAAATCGTTGGAATTCGAACGGTTTAATAGCGATAAACATCTGAAATTTACGTTAAAATTGACTATAAATATGGTTTCTTTTTCATGAGTACAGTCATTAGTGGTATTCATTTTGGTTGAATTTTTCCATAAACAATGAAATTAATCGTGGCAATTTTTCTCGCGCTCGTCTTCGAAAGGGTAAATTATTTTAACTTCAAACATATTATTACATCTCGTACATTATTACAATAATTTTTTTCATCAGATTCTAGCTAATCCAGGAGATCCTGAAATCCTCAAAAAAATTATGACAGAAAAGATAGCTTTGGATAGTTCAGAAGAAATTTTTCGAACTAATCCATTCCAATTTTCATTCGATTTGAGAATTCGAAAGATTGAAAAGAAAATGAGAAAAGAACACGCTTACTCTTGTCTCCTTGAATATCTGACCAAAATAAGAGCCGCAATGGTGAATATAAATAAAAGATTTTCAGAAATCGGAACACATGTATTGCATGAACTCTACACAAATGATACACAATTGCCTATACTTTTTGAAAACGATGAAATGAAGCAAATAATTCGAAGAAATTGGAACTCCACGCCTGCAAGCGGCAACGATTCCCTGCAAGAGATATACATGTGTTTGGGTGAAATGAACAAGAGAATGGCTAGAACTAAAAAATCTATGGCCAATTGTGAAAACTCATATCATGATTCATTGTTTAATGGAAAATTTTCAAAACTAAAAGTAGATATTGATTACGTTTTGGGATGGAATGGTACCTGTCTTGGAGGATTACCAAATTCGATAAACAAATCTATACTGCTACCAGCTAAAAATTTACCAAAAATGACAGATGGATCTGTGCGCACTCTTTTGGAATGCATTCAAAACGTTTACACTACGTACAAGCAAAAGCAAAAGCCAAATTACGATACAATTAATGATAATTTTATGGTGGTGGAACTTCTTTAGTTTGTATTTTTTTTCTAATTCTTCACTGAAATTTAGCCAGATGTTATAATGAGTTTTGCTGAGTGAAATACTTCAATATTTTAAAGTGTTTTTTGTCTTCACTTTTTTCACTCTCAAAATCTTGTTTTGTCAAATCAACAATGTCATGTATATTCGTTTAAATAAACCGAAAAATGAGTTCATAGTTTGAATTTTTATTTGTTTTACTTAAAAATTTCCATACTTGCTCATGAACAGGATGAAAGTGCATCTACACTGTCGGCTGTCGGAAATAAAATGTTTGATATGAAATCTTCAAAACACGATATTTATTCCTCTCAACCTGAAAACATCAATAACATACATCTTTATTTTTATTCTATTATATTATATGTTTTAAAAATCAAAATGTTCAATTTCAGAGAGTCTCCGTATGTTTAAAATGTGAGATGTACATCTACTCACGATTTTAATAAGATTTGAGGGATAAATAAGTAATATTTAAACATAGTGGAAATTTCCAATAAAAAACTATTCACAATGTTGTTATCGATCATCACGAAATATCCGCATATTTGAAGAAAAAACAAACAAATGACAACCGATATTGGGTTTTCCTTTCTCAAACGAGTTACACATTCCAAAGAAGTTGAACTCGTAATATGACTCTCAGTCATGATTCAACGAAACAAACGAAACAGATCTACGCCAAAATCCCGTCTGTGAATGAAAGAAATAAATAACGCAGTAAAATATCAATAGTAATGATCGTAGACCTTTTGACCCGCAAGCATTAATTGGCTATATTATATCCGAAATTTCAATGACATACACAAACATCTAACATCTTATTATAAACCAATGACTTTGCTAATAAAATCATCGATAAAGCAATTATGTTTTACAAAGTGCGATATTTATTTCAATCTATGTTATATTCTCACTTGGGTAATTGTTTCTAACGCACATATTCTAAGAACACTGTACGTCATATATTTCAACTGAAAATCATAAGCAAAAAAAAATAGTTCGTACAAAGAAATTGAATGAAAAAAAAAATTGAACACATATCGCTGATTGTTTATAATATTTTCTGCTCATTTGCATTATCACGTTTCTGTTCATTTGACTTTAATCAAGCATCTCATCCCGGGATTATAAAAACAACTAGCTACTAGTGATGAATGGCAGTTTTAATTCAACATTCAAAGGTGCAAGTTTAGTCTCGATATTTAGTACGGAACAGAAAACGCTGTATGAGCCACAGCAAAAAAAAGAAACAAAGTTCCTTTCGACTAAAAGAATAAATTATTCTAATTATTAATTGTTTTAATTGAATGATAAAAGCAAAAGGAAAATGTGGTCGGTTCTAGTTTTTGTGATACTGTGCCTTCATATTGGCTACGGAACCTCAAATCAAGTACACGATTCACGATCGTAGTAAGTATTTCAATCGAAAATATTAATTCATTTTCATACGTGAACGGCACGATAAGAATAACGTTTTTTTTTCGATTGAGTTGGTAATTAAAACCAAAGAATAAAAAAATCGATATTCAATCGTTGAAATTGAATAAGAAAAGTGACGTCATCAGTTTCATAACAGTAAATTCAAGCATTTTCTTATCAATCGTTTCAAGGTACCTTCTAAACATTAGGTTATCTCAATCATCTCATCTTGTCTGTTGTGAAAATAGAAATGATTTGATTTCCAATCTTTGTTTTTGCAGTCAAAAAGGTTATGTCGGCCAATCGATACAGAATTTTAACAGTGAAAATGGATTCAATAATTCACCTCTGTACACAGAAAATGCACCGTTAGAAAATCCGCGAAATCGTCGTGCTGGTGCACCAAAAAGCTGCACCAAATCAAAGCCATTTGTAAAAAACGCGTTTAAAAAATGTTCGTCCGGTTCGGAAAGTTGTACCGTGCAATGTTTCAACAATTATCAATTTTCAAATGGGCAAACGAGTGTTAAATTGATCTGCAATGCTGGCGAATGGACACTTGAAAATGTCCCGAAAACTGACAAACCCGCCTGTGAACGTAAGGACATTATAAACATTTCATGTTTTTTTTAACTATGTGAGATTTGATATTAACAAAAAACTATTCCAGCTATTTGCAATCCGCCTTGCAAAAATGGTGGTGTTTGTACTGAACCAGCTACGTGCAAATGTCCAGAGAATTTCGAAGGTACTCGTTGTGAGAAAGAGAAAGAAGGTAGCTGCTCCAACGATCCTGAAACACAACAAGCACAAGCTCAATGCAAATCAAATAATTGCACCATTTCTTGCGAAGAAGGTCACACTTTTCCGGATGGTTCAACGACTATGGAAATGACATGCATTAATGGTGAATGGTTACCAACCAATCCCGAACAAAGTTTTGCTCCAACTTGTCAACGTATGGTATTTTTTATGAGTTTATTGTATGAATTGAATTTAATTGCCAATTTATTCAACAGCAATGTGTGAAAATGGCCGTGTATACAAAGAATGCAGTAAAATGAGTGAACAAAGTTGTGGAAGTAAAGCTGAACAAGGAAGCGAAGATGATGAATGTTTTGAAGGTTGTTTCTGTCCATTTGGAACTGCTGAACATTCAGGGCAATGCATTCCAATTGAAGACTGCCCGTGCAATGTAGACGGTAAAATGTATGAACCTGGAAGTGAAATGCAAAAGGAATGCAATACATGTATGTGTGAAAAGGGTGAATGGAAATGCTCCAATAAAAAGTGCGATACAAAGCCAAATCAAAATGCAAGACCCAATCAAAATACAAAACCAAAACAAAATGCAAAGCCAAATCCGCCAGATTTGGATCCCGCGCGTTGCGAAGTGTTTGGTGATCCACATTATGTAACATTCGATGGAAAGCGTTATGATTTCATGGGCAGATGTTCATATTATCTAATGCGAATGGAGAGTGGCATGGATATTATTGCTGAAAACGGTGACTGCCCATGTAAGGAAATTCTTGCTCAAAATTGACAAAACATCAAAAATTGATCAATTTTAATTTATATAAAATCATTTCAGGGGGTCACAATGAGTATGTGTCATGTACAAAGTCGGTGACAATAAGTGTGCCACACAATTATAATCAAAAGTCAATGATTCGTTTGAAACAAGGTGGACGAGTTGAAATTGACGGTATTGATCAAACGCGAAATCTTCCGATCGATGTGTTGGGTGGTCTTATGCAAATTTGGCCCGTTAGTCCAATGGCACGTCAGGTGGTTTGCAACGATGGATTACAAATTCTATGGGATGGTTACACGTATGCTTACATTGATGCGCCCGCCTTATATAGCAACAAAACGAACGGTCTTTGTGGAAATTTTGATAATAATCCAGAAAATGATTTTATGACACCCGAAGGCGATGCAGAAGTACTACCCGAATCATTTGGCGAAAAATGGCGCGTTAAAGAAATCTGTGATGCTGGAAAAGAAAAGAAAACTACTCCACATCCATGTCAACTTAATGTTAAAAATCAACAGCCAGCACTTCAAGTGTGTCAAATGTTGAGAAGTAAACTTTTTGCGGCTTGTCATCAGCTCGTCGATCCAGAACCATATCACAAAAATTGCTTGTATGATATGTGCGCGTGTCAAGGCGACGCCGCACAATGTAAATGCACAATCTTCTCGGCGTATGCAAATGAATGCAGTCGACGTGGCAAGACAATCAATTGGAGACAATCGATTAAAGAATGCGGTACATTTTAATGAGATGATTTCATGATTTATCGTTTTTTAAATCTTTTTTCTGTTAAATACTCACGCAAATTATCAATTTAAATAATTATGTCATAATTAACAAACTAATGAATATGAGAAAAGAAATGTGATTTATCCGTTGTGCAATTGTATTTTTATGCAGTATTTTTTTTTACTCAATTTTTATTACTAATCAATACTAACCATGGAATGGAATTAAAGTTTAATAATTAAAGTAATTATGATTGATATCTTTTATTATGTTTAGCTGTTAAATGTCCTGATGATCAAATATTCGACGAATGCTCTGATCGTTGTCATCTTAGTTGTGCTGATTTACAATCAACAACAAAAAATTGTACAAATGATTGTACGCCTGGTTGTCGTTGTCCAGATGGAAAAGCATTTGATGAAAATAATAAATGCATTCCGAGAGAACAATGTGTTGAAGCAACCGAACCGAGTGTAACAACAGAAGGAACAGAACCGACAACTAAAGCATCGAAACCAAATCGAACAACAAAACCAACCCAAAAGCCTATCAGAACAACTAGACCTACTAAAGTACCACAAACCACGAAACCAACTCAAAAAACAATGAAATCCACCTTAAGACCAGATTCCTTGACGGAACCAATAAATACAACGGAAGCGACTGAACCAGCAGAAACAACTGATGCCACAACTGATGCGACTGAACCAAACGAAATGACAACGTACGCAGCAGAAACAACCGAACCCACCGAAGTAGATAGCACTGAAACAACCGAGTCTGAAAACACTCAAACAACTGATCCAAATGAAACCACCGAAATTCCCGAAAAGGCAGATGAAGTTGAATCTTTACCAAAGAAAAAAGAAAATTCAAAAATGCAATGTGAAAACAAAGGAAAAAAATATAAAAACGGCGATCATATCAAAAATGGATGTAATGATTGCGTGTGTTTCGAAGGGGAACTATTTTGCAAAAATCGATGTGAAACAAACAATGATAAGGATCATGTCAATAATCAAGATGCCAGCGTTGAACAAGACTCAAATGTGGACCAGGATCAAACTTCAAACCTCAACCAAAAACCAAACACCAAGAAAGATACAGAACCAGACTATCCAAAACAAAGTGCAAAGAAGCCACGAAATAATCAAATTCAACAAAGTAAGATAATGAATGAAGAAAAAAATTGTTTTTATTGAAAAATTATTCTTCTTTTCTTCTTAGATCCGGACTCTGATTGCCAAATAGTTCCATTAAATGAATCGGAAACCATTGGTATAATAGACATTGTATTGGAGCCATTTGGGAGATGTGTTAATATTGAACCAATCACTGGATTTGCTGAATGCAGCGGCGCGTGTAAATCATCAACCACATTCAATCGAAGAACATTAAAACACGATGAAAATTGTGGATGTTGTTCAATATCAAAGATTGAAAAGGTACCTTTGTCGCTTAGATGTGACGATGGTTCAGAACAAAGAGCTTTGGTACCCATACCAAGAGAGTGTGCATGTGGAACGTCTTGTGGGGCAGACAAAGTTGAAGAAACCTACTACAGAAACAGAAATATAGAACCAATTGAAAATTCAGCAGAAACAGAGAATCAACAAAATGTCAACAATGCATTGGGATGGCTATTTAATGCACCACGCACTTTTAGAATTAATTTACGTCACAGGGAAATCTAAAGCCAAAACTCTTTTTGATGAAAAAATGTAGCTGGTAAAATAATTGTAATAATTGCATATTTCATTTTGAACATTTATATGAAGCAAATGTTAATCCACGTTCATTGAAATAGTCTCTTTATGAAAGTAAAGAGAATTTGGTTTTAAATGATATTTGCTCATTCGTTATTCAACTGAGTAAAATAATGTTTGAGCGATGAGTGAAAGTTGGCTAGATGGAGTTTTATCCAATTTAATAGTATGTTGAAGTGGAGGAAGCCATAAAAATCTTTCAACCAGAACTCAATAAAGAATATGAAAGCAAAGCAATAAATTTCATTCACATCCGCGAAATACATTTGTTTTATTTGAAAAAAAATTATTTTCAAAAAAAAATATTTCAATTATCATGTCAATGTTCAGATAAAATCAGGTCAAAGTTCTTATAAATTCGGTACATTGTATCAAGGAGTTGTTTCTAATGAGTAAATTTGTATCTTCAGCTCAGCATATGCCCACCCAAAAACGACTCATTTACTCACTATTATGATATCCACACACATTTGCACAATACACTGAAGTAGCCTGTGCGCGCTCTCTTACTCTCTTATTCTCCTGGTTTGTGTATATACAAAAATTCAAATCGCCGCATCAACGGCTAAAAGTGTACACAGATACACAGACATAAAATCGGCGCTGTAAACGAAACAATGCACGGAATGTGCTGAAGTAAACGAAACGAATGAGTGCGAGAGAGAGAAAGAGAGGAATGGATGTAAGTGAGCGTAAACAGAATACAGCTGCGTTTCGATTGTACAAAGTAGGCAACGATAGACAAGGAAAAAGAAATATCAAGTTAGTCGATTGAGTTGAATGGCGTCAAGTAGATGTATTTTTTTTTAATGTTTGGTTGAAACTAGAGTGTGACTTTTTATTTGTTAGAAAATAAAAGAAGAAACATCACATTTTCGTTTGCGCAGACCTTTATTTTTATTTATAAAACGGCTATTTTCTTTATCATTTTGTTTGCGCTTCGTTAATTTTATGTTTGATTGTGGTGTTTTGTTATTGTTTATTCAAAGAATTGGCGACCGAAAAAATTGTGCATTGTGTGTTAGTTGAAATCGAAAATTTGCAATGATGCAAATGTGGTGGTTGATGTGTGCTGAATAAATAAATTGCAATTAAAATGCGATAATCGATACGTTATCGTTTTCATGTGAACAATATCCACACATGAACAAAACAAAAAAGAAGAAGAAAATCGTGAATATTTGGTGAAAAGAAGAAGGTTAAACACGAAAAAAAAATATATAAATATATTATTCTATGATGTGCACAGTGAATATCGAAAAGTGAATGAAAACCATTGAATACACTCACACACAAAAACATGGCCGGTTTGATGCCGAAAGTATTCGAAGAGGCTAGTCTTAGTGGAGAGCTAAGACTTAGCGGCCGAAAACTGAAAGACTTCCCAAAAACAGCAGCCAAATACAATTTAAGCGATACGGTCATCGCAGGTAAAACACTTTGTTTATTACTTTAAGAAAAAGAAAAACCCATCAATTTCTACCAGTTTATACCGAAATGCATAGGTTTGCATCAAACTTCTGCGGTTATTAACTCTAAAACAATCTAGCAGCTGCCTATTTTTGTAACAAATAAAAATTCATCTAAATGCGAAACAAACCACATGAATCGTTTCGATTAGATAAAATATCAGTTCATTCTCACAGGCAATTGTGCTGACATAAAGAATTATCTCCGTTGCAAAACGAAATATGCAACGCACTGAAACGTGATCGCTGTGATTTTCGCATCATCGTTTTTATTGCACAAAGTCCTGCTTTTATTTTTGATTGTATGAGTATGTGTATATTTGCACTGTGTAGTTTATTCCAACCTATACACAAACATCGAATCACCTTTTTGTATCAGTTCAACGTTCATGCTATGAATTCTACACGATGTATCGTGTGTATCTACTTTGTTCATTGTTTCATTCATTGACACTGTTGTCGAACGTGATTTTTGTACTGACTTTATTTATATCCAGTCCTTTATGCTATGTATTCCAAGAACACACCGCAATAAAAAAAAAACTACAAAATTTACCTCATTATACAGGTGTAGAGTTGGCGTCCATACGCAATTTTGCCGACTGTTCGTTTGGTTTTTAATGTGTCGCATAGCAAAAAAAGGTATTTAAATATTTTGCCACCAGCATGTTGTTCAGTAGAACAACCGAATGCCACTTAATTTGAATTTTACGATGAAATATCTGAATTGAATCAATTTTGCCCATAAAAGTTGCACGTGTGTATATAGGCGCGTTCAAAGAACTCTTTCGCTCAGCTGAAGAAAGATAAAACTGGCTATACCTGATTTTGTGTGCGTAACATACATGTTTCAATACATTATAATAAATCAGCCAACACCTTCCGCTCTGATGCAGCAACAATGACAACCATATCCAATTTCTGTGGCACACCGGTGAGTGAACGAGCAAGAGAGGGCAATCTCTCGAAGACACACGGTGCTGACATGAGTATGCAATTTCCATTTTTTTTTTCTTTTTTCTTCAATAAAAAAATGATTTTACAACGACGACTGGAACTGATTTGAATAAAATGAAATAAAAACACCGTTGCGATCAGTCAAGTCAGATAAATGGTATACACAGTGTCTGCATTTTGATTTGTGGGCGTTAAACCTGCCGCTTGAATGCAATGCACTGTAAACGACTTATTTTTCATATTTACTCTTTCTCTCTCTCTCCCTCTCAATCGAAATAACAGCGAAATAGTCTCAATGAAACATATTCATTAGTTGATTTTTTGATGTGAAAATCCCGGTAAAAAACACACCGATTGTTAGCAATAGCTTTCAAATAATAAAACATTTGTCGATGAAAATGGAAAGGCAAAATCTGCCGTCGAATTACGACGAAAAGCCGATTTACTTTTTTTCATATTTGAATTTCTTCCTCTTATTCTTCTTCGTGAACAAATTCAATCATATTCGTTTATGTATTTTATGGTGACAATATATAAAAAAGGTCGCATGATTGTTGTTACAATGGGGATTAAAATGAATAAAGACCCGATCTTATTTTTGATTTCCATTTATTGTACGATTTGACTGTAGTCACTGTTGTGTCTCATTCTGTGTGTGTTCATAATTTGGGTCTCCCCGCATCAAATTCACTTAATGTTTCCGACAAAAGAAAACGAAAAATTATTCGTGATGTTAATCATAATATTTCACCGTCATCGGCCATTCATTTTATGTTGCCGTACATACACATATTTATCATCGTTATGGTGATGCTGTGTGTTAACGGCATACACAATTTCAACCCCAACTTGTGAATTGAAAGAAAAAAATGAATGCGGCATCTTGAAACATGTATTGAATGAGAGAGAAGCGAACGTATGTCATATAATACTGCTGCTGTTTGTGTTTGAATAATATCTGCATTTTCCATGGCGCAGCAGCAGCAATGACGGTAAACTTTAATGCAGTGAGAGACGAACATTGATATTCGATTTTTCCATTAACACTAGAATAGTCGCTCATTGTAATGGGGACTTCAACAGATGTACAAACTTTATAGCATGCATTAAACAAACCACATCCTCTTTCGCTTTCTCTGTCTGCGTATTGAATTCGACACGAGACAAAAACTCTCTTTATTCATTTTCACTACAAATTTTCGGGTGTGTAACACCGAACACAAACAGCTGGAATTGACAAATGGCTTATCGTACAAATACCGTTTCGTATGTACACATTTGCTGCTATCACATTGAAGGCACTTTGGAAAGTTAAATGTTTCTTTTTTGTCGGTGTTTTTAAATCAAATTTCAGTCTGTTGCCACACCAGCACACACACACACACACAGTTCATTGCGATTGGAAAATTCGGTATTTTTTTGGTATAGAATGCGGCAAAGCTGAACACTTTCATTTTCCATTTTCTTCGTTGCGCAAACGTTGCCGCAATTACGGAAAATGTTCCACACAAAGAAACTATGCAAAATGATGGCAATTTTCATATGAAAAATGTTGGTTTTTTTCCAATAGAAAATCGACGTTTCTTCTGACGTACGCACTATGCTACAGGACTCTCTCTCACACACAATGAGAAAATATATCGATCAATTTGCTGAACAAATGAAGTAATTCCCACAAATGAAACAAAAAGACGTTGATACGAGGGGGAAAATAGAAAAAATCGGAGTAGAAACTTGCTGGCAGTATTTTACTCGAAGCAAAGGTTGTATTTTTATCGCATTTTGGTAAAAGGTGATACCGGATTCCAGCTATAAATGGTACAAATTAAATGAAAAAATAATGAACTAGACAAAAATCACATTTAAGAGCTTCCTAATGGCATTGCCAAATCGATTTATCACACCAACACTGAGATGAGATTGTTCATGTTTATTTTTTTCCGTTTCGTTTAAATCATATTATCTGTAGCCACAATTCAATTTCCTGAATAAGATAGTTGCATGAATGATAACATGCATGTCTGTTATTCCATGATAAAACTCGATTTTCCGATGAAATCGAAAAAAAAAACGGACGCAAAGAAATTGAAATGTTGACTCGTTTGAGTGACTTTGTGGGAGAGATAGATACTACTTATCTCGCTTCATACGTATCATTGAATAAGTATAATTGCCGTATTGAAACGTTCGCACGATCCATTACGACACAACGCATTCATGGTGAGTCATTCATTTGCTTGATCACCGCATAACGCAATGTAATTGAATGTATACGGCCATAAAAGGTGTATAGCAGCACATTTATTGATTCGTTTGAGGTATTAGCGGCAAATGTTTCTCTTATTAAAAGCCGATATGCAGTTCTATCGTGTGCATGTGTGTTTACAGCATGAAAGTGAAAATCTATTTAGAATGTCTAATTCAAACGAAAAATCATAAAAATTATAGTCTGACTGGCTACAATCGACCACCTGAAGCATGATTATATGAAAGTAGCTTAAAATTCTTTTTGAGCATTGAAAATTCCATTAGAAACGAGCATGGAGGCAAAAAAAAACCTTGAACAAAACAAAACTACACAAAAATCCACAACAACATTTTTCTCTCATTACACGCGCACAGCGCAATCACAAATGAATCGATAAACAAATGTGGTGTAAAACGTAAACGTTTGGTTTGTACCGTGCTCATACGATGTGAAATGAGAAAAAACTTGCGTGGCGAATCGTTTAGAAAGAGTAAACGAAAACAAAAACAGAGAAAAATATTATCAAAACTTAGTCATGTCGGACCACAATCAATGAAATTCATTCAAATGCTGGTTATGCTGGTGAGCATGTGCTAGAACGAATAAAGTATATTTCGAGTGTCTCGGCTTATTTCTCTCTATTTCACATTGTAAATATTGTGGTTCGAATTGAGCGGAAATTAAACGAAAAAAAAAAAACATGACCATATTTATATTTCTGTAATGATTCCTTTGTTTTCGTCATATTTGCTTCCATAATAATCATGCTATTATTATTTGACGTAAGCACTAAACAATCGCGTTGATATTGAACGCATTCTATCACATCGAACGAATAGTCATTTTTTTGTGTGTGAGTATCTACGAGCAAAAATTATGTTATAATTTTATAATCGTATCAAAAGGTACGTGAAAAATGACGTATTTGTTTAAAATACAATGTGTTTGCAGATAAAAATGGGACGATATTTTTCCGGTTTATTTTTTTTTTTAAATTGCGCTATCAATGTTGTACGAGGCCTCAAAACATAATGAAGCAAAACGAATGACAATCATTTATTCATATTTATATTCAAATCTTTGCTGAATTTCTTCGCTATCAACTAGCTGACATGTTGAATTAATAAATGATTACAAATAATCATACAAAGTCATAAAAGCAATAAATAATAATGGTGATGATGATGGGCGCGCGCAGAACAAATGAAACAGAATTAATATTAATCAGAATAAAGTGTGTGCGCATGAAAAAAATAAGTGTAGCGCATCATTTGATGCTGCGCAAAGGAATCGCGACAGCCTCATTGTTTCAGATGCTATTGTAGTTTCTTTTGATCTTTCACAGAGCGAAAGAGTTAATTTTGAAGATGGGGAAAGAGAGAAGAGAAGGCGATGCGCTAACGAGATTTAGAATGATGTGTAAAATGTTGTTAGCTGTTAATGGCGCTCCATTGTACACTTAAACGAAATACGATTATTTCATTCTTCAATATAAATAAAATGACATATAAAGCATTTCCGTTCATCGCACCGATCCAATGCATGCGCACACTTTCAAAGCCCAATTGATTTGAGTGCCGTCATTTTGATTGCTTACGAAACCAATATAACTATCGCAACTAAGCATATAGTCATAAACATTTGAAATAACGTATTTGCAATAAGCTCGCTTGTGAACGTTATAACTTTTCAAAATCGACATTTTATTACGATGTTCCGTGTGCATTCTATTCGAATGAAAAACAAAAAAATACACCACGAAAGGTAAATAAACTTTGAGATTTCGAACCAATCAATCGATTTCGATGCATATATGCAACTTGTGTGGAAGTTACACAATGATATGTAAGTTTCAAACGCTTTGTATCTCTATTATTTTTTGTTCACCGGAAAACCGTGCGAAATCGACATCTCAGATGGAAACATTTCGTATGGCAATATAGCAATGCCACTAATCACACAATAGTCATACTCATTAAGTATAAAATTGTTATAGCTTGAAACCACGCTTTCCGTTCTCAAGATACGCGCTTTAAGCGTGAAGCCATGCTGTTTTTTTTCCTACTCTCTTTCACATAACACATTTATGGAGTGGCTTCAACATTTTTTTCTTCTTCTTCTTCTTCAATTGCTTCGCATAAAAAAGTATTTGCGATGACGGAATTATTGCCAAAATGATCGTACGCAAAAATAAGTGTACATATGTTATGTGTGCTCATCAAACGGTTGATGGATATTTTTTGTGTCTTCATTACTAAACGGTAATAAATTGATAATTGCAAGCCACGCCAAAACCGGGTATCGGTGGAATTCGACGATTTTTTTTGTCATTGAAATGAGGAATGTCTGCTAAACATTATGGCATTTCTATAGAATTCCGGCAGCACTTCGAATTGAATTTTAGGCCATAAAAACTCGTTTTTTTAAACAACCATATTATGTTTTTGAAAGTTTCTTTATTTTTCTTCCATTCATTTTTTATGAGTTTGGTTTTAATTTTCAAGTTGTAATCGTTATTAGTAAGTCTTATATGTATAATACGACACGACGATTTGATTATCGACGATAATTCAAGTCAAAGACGATCTTTTTTGGTGTATAATGTCCTTCGGGTTGCTTTTCTATGGAAGTGAATGAATCATTGATGCTGAAACTTATCGTGCTCACATTTATATGGCTTGGATGTTGATGTTATGCATTATGGTTATGACTCATTCCAAAGAACAAATACACCATGAAAGTATGAGCAATGAGGCACACAGAAAAAGAAACATGTATTTGTTTGGGTAATATATATGTTCGTAAAGTCATGCTCAAAATATTCGCTCTCGCGTCAACTTATTATGGAAAAGCAAAAAAAAATCGGCTCTTCGATTCCTACTACATTGTGATCTTTGCCGTTTGATTTTTCAAAACTGATTCGAAGTGGTTTCATCCGTTTAGTCGACGCGTTAAGTGAAATTAAATTTATATTTTGTCTACAACATAATATTAAGGAATTCATAATAAGTAAATCGGCTGCGACCCAAAACAAAACTGTGAAATCTGGAAAAGCCAAAGAATATAAGTGTAGAAAATGTTGAGAAATAGAATTTGCCGTCGCAATCCACGATTATGGTGGGGTTTTCATATCATCGCGTAGGTTCAATTCTATTTATAACGCGGTTACAAGAACGACCTCAACATATGCGAGAGACTGGATTCACATCAAGAGCTAAATCGTTGATCTTAGCCTTAATATTATTTATTTACTAAGCGCGCGAATGATGCACAAATGAAAATTGATGAATTTGAAGTGTTCCCCGTCTTTTTTTTTTGGTTTCGTCAAAGTTAATCCGAATATCGTGCCTGATCCCCGTGATATGCGTTCTGTTGCAACAAATCATTTTAGCTCACAAGAGAATGAATAGCACTAATTAAATATCGTGAAAGACATGTTCGGCATTTGTTTTTGCTACGCTGAAAGCAACGAAAAAAACTCAATTATATATAGCCAACAAGTCATATCGAAATACATGCGCATCCAAAACAGATGTGTCAAAAGTCAATTTTTTTGTGTATGCTTCGAATTCCATTGCTTTTGCACGACGGATGCATGTCGAAATTCCAAAAATAATAACGTTTTGAATGAGAGATTCGGCGTATTCTGATGAATTCAAACCTTTCAATTCTCTTTCAATGGAATGATGAGATGGTGATGAATGTTTAACGCCTGTTTTTTTTTCACAAGATAAAAACATAAAGTTTGATGGGTTTTTGCTTTAATTAATTGAAATTTATTCATATTTATTTATTTCGAACATAAAAACAATAACGATGAGCATGAATGCGGTTTTTTTATTAATGCTTTTGATGATGCAAAGTCGATGCTGAATTAAAAATAATTAATTGACTTCATTCTACCTAGAATTCGTGTTATGAATATGGCCATTTGAAACCAAACGCTGAAACGAATGGCAATGTAAAATGATAAATCATACAGTTTTTATGCAATGTTACTATATTTCAGTCGTTGATCCATGCCATTTTTTTTTTCTTAATCTAATAAATTACGCAAATGCAAAAACCGCACGGAGTGTGGTTTATGATGATTTTAAATGTATATAAAAAAAACTATTACGATTGGACTTCCGAGAATATCTATACACTCTGCTTCACTTAAATGGTATCGATTATTTGCAATTTTTCAGTGCATGCTAATCTAGAAAAGTGCTTTTTCAATGCGAATTTCGAAACTATGGTGAATTTTGTTCCATTTAAAAGTCTAGTTGCAATGAACCCTGTGGTTAAACTATCGAATGTCTTGTACAACAGTTTTCTCATCGATTCAATAAAAAAATACATGAGCAAAGCAATTTACGAAGAACAATAGAAAATAGAATGATTATCTTCACCGTGCACGAAGCACATAAAATGCATTCAAATGTGCGGAGAAAAGAAAAAATTAAAGAAGAAAACCTGACATGCATGTCACTGACCCGAATGAATCGTGCGCATAAATAACTAACGTAGCCACCATAAACGAGAGAGAAGAACTAAACAAGCAATGATAATTAGTGAAAATGGAGAGTGTTGTTATTATTGTGGTGATGTAAGTATCAGTCGTAAAAATGGCGTTCTACAAACTTCGTTTATTTGTTTGCCGTAAATTGCGTGCGTTTGATTGACCCACCATAAGTTCCGTACTTCATTATACTCTAATTCTAATTTCAGTTTTGTACTAGATATTTTTGTTTTGTTTATCAAGAAATTCTCTTATTTCTTGCTCGCTCCAATTTTCGTTGCCATCACAACATACTATTTCGTGCCATTTTACGAACGGGTCTTGGAGTTGATGTTGTTGGCATTTCTCTTTTGATTACATCGATCCGTTTAATTTTATTCTGAATGGGTTCACTTCTTGTTTGTGATCGTAACCGTTTCTTGATTGTTGATTCGACGCGTAGCACCGCCCGTTTATGTTTGCTTGGCGGTTTTCCAACATTTGCCAACCGTTGTGATCGTGTGTGTTCGCATTGTTGATCAATTTGCTCTTTTAAAATATCGCATAATGTACGATTTCGAATGAGAACTGCATGTAACTTGCGACTGGCTTTCAAGTGGTCTTTTGCCGATATTAAACCATAATCAAATAAATTCGATAAATGTATGATGCAATTGCGATAAAGATGATTTTTTATTATTGATTCGCCATACGTTTCAATGAATGTTATAACAGCTGCTGGTATTTGTGAATCACTTACGAATGTATGTTTCAGAATAAATAAATTCCATAATTTCATAATGCCTTTCTCGCCATCGTTAACATCGAGAAAGTCATTGATCATTTTGACAGTGTTCTTTTGCAACCAAATTGGATCAGTTTCAGTTTCTGAATCGACATCAATTTCGCTTGGTTTCAACGCCAATCCACTGTATGAATGATAATATGTTCGCTTTTGTACGGTGTCAAAGTTTAAAAACTCTGACATACGTGGTCGAATGCGTTCGGGTCGATTGACAAGTATGGCTGTCATAATTTTACGTTTATGTGGCTCTTTACCACGATATGACGTTCCCAATCGACTGAAAGGATCAAATTTCAACTCATCGTCTCGTTTATTTACAAACACATCGATTCGTAGTTCACCGGTGCCCGGTACATATTTGAATTTGAAACGACCATGGCATAATGTCAAATGCTTCAGTAAAACGTACATATTTGATGTTTTTAATGAGCACCACGGACACTTTGTTCGATCCCATAGCTCCGTTTTTTGTCGATAATTCTTATGAATAAACTGATAGACTAGACACTGAATATTTTCATTTGATTTATACGTCGAAAATCGACGACTCATAATACTTCCAGTTGAACGGCTTCGTGTTAATACACGTCGTTTACCACCGCCACCATTTGAACCATTTACATATTCACCGTTCTCTTTATTCTCATTGTTCAGACTAATTTCACGCGACCATTGTAAATTACACATCATTTTGGCCGGTTTTAAAAACTCTTTGTTGATATCGTCGTCTTCAATTGCGTTCATTGACAGTGATTTTTTTACAAAATGTTTGATTTTCCACATGGCTTGTTTCGGCAATGACATTAGACCGCCATTCGATTCATAAGCGAACGATAAATCATGTTGCCCACTGGCAATCAAACCATTTTGACTTTTATCGAATAATTCCAATTCTGATTCAAATACATAATTTTCGATTGGCATTTCGTCACGATTCCCATAGCCAGTTTGTAGCGGTTTATCAATAACTCTCACTTTAAACAGCAGAACACACGTCGTGATATTCAATAATTCACCGTTTGGTGTGGTTATTTTCAGCGATTCAGTTGGCAAACTAATTGTCGACAAACCTTTCAGCATATCAATTGGATTGATGTCTACTATCACAGATGTTAACTGCGCACAAGAGAGAAGAGAAGAAAAAAAAAACATTTTAAATTATTTACCGAATAATAACATGTGAATTCAGCCAATTTTAAAATAAAAAAATATTCGAGGTTGTTTTTTTTTTCTCATAAATAGAGAATACTCACCTTGTTCTTGGTTTCTTTGTGAAATACTAGAACTTCGGCATGGCGAAAATTGGCAAGCTCATTGCAATGGAAACCCGAAAATGTTAGCGTCATGTAATGTTTTGTGCCTCGTTTTTGTTCGGCCAATTTATCGGCAATCGCATGTAATGTGTTGAATTTTACACTTGATCGACGCCGCGGTTTTTTTGACCGGCATTTTTTCTGATTGACATAGGTCAAACTACGTTGAAGAAATAACGGAGGCTGTTTGAAATAACAAAAAAATGGAAATTTTTTCAACATAAATTAGAATATTCGAGTTTGAAAATTGAAATAAAATGATAATGACTTCACTAAAATGGTGAATTCAATTTAGTGTGCGATGAGAAGAGACGATTGAATGGGAATTTACTAGAAATGACACATTCACTAAAATTAACCAAACAAGGAGTTTTGTTGAGTGGTGAAATTACCACGATTTCTATATTGAGCTAAATGTGTTGGTGACAACTTACATTTTTTTTGCGATGTTCCTCATAAAATCGATATGCTTCGGTTGGTTCTGTGAATGAGAAAAAATACGAACATTTAAAAAAAAATTCATCAAATATTTGATTTTTAATTATTTTACCAGCAAATGCTTGTATGAATAGTTTTTGTTCTTCATCAGCGTTGTCGACGTCCATCTTTTTTTCTTCAAACAGTGGTCTGTTTCTCTGGCTATTGATGTTGCTTGATTGACAGAAAAACAATGAATGTTAAACAATTGTTTGTGTTTGAAAGATTTTTCTCAAAGAAAGTGTGTAATTGTTTATGTTCCAAATGAAATTTGTGTATGGAACATACAACACAAACACATCGATATTTGTTACAAAATGCATCGACACATTTACGTATGTGCGTTTTAGTTAGCTGCCGTATGTCATAAAAGTCAGGTAAAAAAAAGCCTTACAGAAGATTTGTCACCATGTATGCATGCGACTGTTCAAAAGGAGGTTAGATTAGTAAAAGTGACTACACATCTCCGATCGATGCATTCTAAGAAACTATGCATTTCTCGTTGAGAGAATTTTGTTTGGCTGTCATAAAATGTTTTGCCTTTACCTAAATGTATTTCAAATTGGTTAGTACAAAAGTACACGCGCAACTCATGTTCATAAAAAGATGACGAAGAACAAAAAATGTGTGTGTGTGTGTGTGTGTGTGTGTGTGTGTGTGTGTGTGTGTGT